CCTACTTGAGAGTTTTTGTTTAATTTCCTCTGTTGTCTTCCAGCTTTCTGTGAAATAGATGTATGAATTTCGACATAAATTCATAGTTTACAGCTATTCCTGCATCCACTGTCTCCCCTTGACTGGATCGTATTAACAGTTAAGCCCAGCATCTGTTAGTAAAGCTCTTTCTTACCACAGCCTGCTACCCCAAGATGTGTAATGCCTCTGGCCGAGGTCTGCAACCCAAGGGGCTCCGCGTGAAGGAAGTAGCAGACTTCAAGGTGTTTACTAAGGGGGCTGGCAGTGGGGAGCTGAAGGTGCTCGTTAAAGGACCCAGTGAGTGCATTTTCTGCCCACCCAAGGGCCTCCCAACAATTCTGTCCTCTGAAAGGCTGTGTGAGTTTAAAAATGGTGCAAATGCGTGGTGTGATGTGTTTACTTCTGATTACTTCAGAAGGAGGAGAAGAGCCAGTGAAGGTGCGGGAAGTTGGAGATGGGGTGTACGAGTGCGAATATTACCCAGTTGTACCTGGAAAATACACTGTAGCCATCACCTGGGGAGGACAGGCTATTCCACGCAGGTAAGGTAACAGAAAAGCAATGTCAATATCAGGCTATATTCTATTGGGATTAGCACTACTGTATATTACAAACATGAATACTTAACATTAGCATACCCCAATGAGTATTATGTCAGTAAGTTTTCAGGTTGTGAAGCCTAGAAATCATTCCCATACATGGGATTTATATTATATGTGGTGTTTTGTGTACATGTGTGTTACTATACATATATATATACGTATATATTTACATGTAGCCCCTTCGAGGTTGTGGTCAGTGAGGCTGCAAAGAGTCAGAAGGTCCGAGCCTGGGGTCCTGGCCTGGAAACTGGGATGGTGGGCAAGTCTGCAGACTTTGTGGTGGAAGCTATTGGCATAGAAGTAGGAAATCTGGGTAAGAGGCAAATGGGGTGTTGGGTTTTCAGACCTGGAGAAGGATGGACTATAGGGACGCTTTTATCTGATTTTTACTGATGGCTGATATTCCACTGAGGTTCATGAAGCTTAATTATACTTATTTATGATTTACCAGATGGAAACATTTAGCCCATAGTTGTTTTAAATACAGAAGCGTCTTTTACAGCATTGGGTAGGGTTGGGCAATATACGCAATATGTCGACTTATCCTCATATGAAATTAAAACTATTAAAAAAGAGAAACTTCAATAAACTGTCAATAAGGCACTTTGCTTAATAGTACACATTAGCCTATCACATCACAGAAAGGAATGCAATTTCAAACGATCATAATTAAAAGTCTGTCTTTTAAGAATGGACAGTCACTGTCTAACAAGTGCATAGGTTGGTTGAGTTAACGGAGCATGCCACATAGTTCTGTGGTAATGCACATGAGTCATTGAAGAGATGAGCGCTCTCACACAGAGGAAATTGTGAAAACTGGTGAAAAAAGCGATAGCATTCAGCCAGCAATGTCAATCCCATCCTCTGGAATGAGCAGTGAGGCAGTCCCCCAGTATTTAATTTGGCTTCATTCATCACCCCAATAAATACAGTAAAGAAATAATGATTGAATTCTATCGTGATAATTATCAACATCAACTGATATGAAATAAATAATTACAATAAAATATTTTGCCATATAGTATAGCCTCAACATTGGGCAGCATCATCACAATATAGAATCAGCTTAGAAGGGATGTCTGAGGGGGGCTCAATGATATTCTAACATGTATCTGTCTTTGTGGGTGGGCAGGCTTTTCTATCGAAGGACCGTCTCAGGCTAAGATTGAGTGTGATGACAAGGGTGATGGCTCCTGGGATGTACGCTATTGGCCCACTGAGCCAGGTGACTATGCTGTGCATGTGATTTGTGACAATGAGGACATCAAGGACAGCCCATTCATGGCCCACATCCTGCCTGCTGATAAGAGCATTTACCCGGAGAAGGTCAGTCAGCTTTCCCATCCAGATCATTTTCCAGTGTCTAGTGGCGTCCAGTATCCACCCATCCAGATGTCCCGTCTCTGCTCATCCTTTGCTACTGATGCTCTTGGCTCCAGGTGAAGGCCTTTGGCCCAGGCCTGCAGCCCACTGGCTGCATCATCAACCAGCCTGCAGAGTTCACTGTTGACACCCGAGGGGCTGGTAATGGCCAACTGAAGATTTATGCACAGGTATTTGGAATTAACAAGGACATATGCATAACATGTAGTATTCATCAGGATATTTTATGTTAAATTACTTAAATTTGAAAACATAATCCTAACTATATTCATTTAAAACATTAAGATATTAAAAATATATATCACATTTTTGTTTTTCAGCATGCCAGTGAAATCCAGTGTAAGTTTGAAGTATATGTCTGTGTCTCTACAGGACGCCGATGGCCTTACCATTGACATCCAGATCACCGACAAAGGAGATGGCACATTTGTGTGTGTCTACGTGCCAGTTAAGCCCATCAAGCATACCATAATCATCACTTGGGGAGGGGTCAACATCCCCAACAGCCCCTTTAGGGTAAGAGGCCACACTGAAAATGGTCATGGGTAATATTGGGCAGAACCCTTCGGTCATTTGTTGATGGTCGTCATCTGTGTTGATTATTTGCAGTTATTTAGTTAGGCAACATTTTTGTCCGTCACTTCACAAGCATATGTAATCTGTCATAAGGAGATCTTTGTATTGTGACTTTTTCATTGTGTTATAGTCAGAGATGGATAGTTCAGGTCCACTCTTTATACTGAACTGGTTGGTTAAAACAAAATCTTGGTCTGGATTTTTACTTTCTGTACCTGAACTATCCACCACCGCTTACAGTTGGTCGTAAACCTCATTTTGGCCTCATTTTGACTCCAGTATCATGCTCTCTGTTCACATGTAGGTGGTCGTTGGGGAAGGTAGTCACCCAGGAAAAGTTAAGGTGTACGGGCCAGGAGTGCAGAAAACAGGGCTGAAGGCCAATGAGCCCACATATTTCACTGTGGACTGCGCTGAAGCTGGACAAGGTAAGGGAATGCTCACATGAAGTAGGTCAGCAAAGCAGGATATTAGTCTCGAGACTTACAGCTTGTTTATTCCTGTTGCCTTTTCTATTTACTTGGCCGTAATGCGTTACCACTCATTGATCGTGTCCAAATTTCTCAGGTGATGTCAGTATTGGCATCAAGTGTGCCCCTGGGGTTGTGGGTCCCAATGAGGTGGACATCGACTTCGATATAATCAAGAATGACAATGACACCTTCACAGTAAAATACACACCCCCTGGCCCTGGTAACTACACAATTATGGTGCTGTTTGGAGACCAGGTGAGGCTTTTGAAGCAGTCAGCAGTGGGAATGGTTTTACTGTTTGGATCTCTGTAGAAAGAAATCGATCTGTTTTCACAGTGCAAATGTCTCATATCTGCAAATAATGCCTTTTTATTTTAGTGACATTATTTTTTAATAATATTGTGTTCATAAGAGTGTCTTGCAGCAATGTTTTTGCTTTTGCTTTGGTACTTTGTTTAATCATTAAATTTACAATTTAAGTGCTTAGTACAAATTGTAGCTATATTTGCTTTTCCAAATAGAATAATGAAACTAATGCCTATTATGTATTTATGCCAATCCCCGTCTATAGGAAATCCCCATCAGCCCATTCCATGTTAAGGTACAGCCGTCTCATGATGCTGCCAAGGTGAGGGCAGAGGGCCCTGGGCTTAACAAGACAGGTGAGATCTGGTTTAGCAGCATTTCATTGGGGGTTTCTTAGTCTCTCTGCCACCATTAATGCTTAGCCTGACACAGACCCTTTAGCTGCTGTATCAACACAAAAATAAATTGAAGCACACAAAAAGATTGATAAACAAAGCTATTAGTGAAGCCAATATAAGGCCAATATGACACTGATACAGAGAGCGAACAGAAACCCTTGGTCTACAGCACAGATGGGCTGATGGAAGCTTGTGTGTTGTAGGTGTGGAAGCGGGCACGCCCACTCATTTCACAGTCTTCACCAAGGGGGCGGGTAAGGCTAAACTGGATGTCCAGTTTGATGGAGCCATCAAGGGACAGGCGGTGCAAGACTTTGAGATCATCGATAATCATGACTATACCTACACTGTCAAATATACTGCTGTGCAGCAGGTATGTCCACTGCTGAGGGGGGAGCGTCATGATTCATCTGTTATTGACTTTTTTATGTTAGCTTTTTATGGAAAGGGGACCACTCAGTCTGTTAGAGAACTGCTTACTGAATGACAAAGAGAATTAGCTCTTTATTTCCCCACCTGCTTTATTTGCAGGGAAACATGACTATCTCCGTCACCTATGGAAATGATCCGGTTCCAAAAAGCCCATTTACCATCACCGTGGGTTCTCCCCTAGACCTTGGCCAAGTCCAGGTTCAAGGCCTTAACAAAAGTTAGTACCCTGCTTTCAATGAGGATTCCTCTATAAATTAACTATGCATGCAATGTCCCTGTGAATGAGAGACAGAATTTCCTGCTTTTTGATTTAGTCCAATTCACAAAGAATATTTAAATCATCTAATGGTGTTAGTTTAAGTTTGCTCTTTTAGTAGAATTTGCATTCATAAATGACCCCATTGGAGCGAGTTTAAAAGAGCCTGTCTCTTTGCATTCCACAGAAGTAGAGGTTGGGAAGGATCAGGAGTTTGTGGTGAACACTCGGGGTGCTGGTGGGCAAGGCAAAGTAGATGTCAAGATCACATCACCCTCTAAGCGGCCAATCCCATGCAAAGTCCAGCCTGACATGACAAACAGTGCATACTCTGTGCATTATATTCCCCCTGAAGAAGGCCCCTACAAAGTGGATGTGTCCTATGATGGAAACCCAGTTCCTGGAAGCCCCTTCACCGTGGAAGGTGTTATACCCCCTGATCCTTCCAAGGCAAGTAAAATACAGCAATTCACTCTCTTTGAATGCATCTACATTTATTTATTTAGCAGACATGTCTGTCCACAGAAACATATTTGGGAGGCAGATAGTACATTATAAGCATCAAAACATCCAAACATCCATCCATCCATCTACACATCTTTTAACCACTTTTTCTGGTTAGGGTGTGGGGAATACAAACATTTACTGTATTTATGTTGTTTTATATAATGCAGTCTTAGTCATCCATGTGTGTGATTATGCCATATTTTCTGCTCATAGTGTAGTCATAGTTTGAGACAGAACCCAGAGACAGCAGGGTAATGTGGATGAAGAGGACAATTACGATCAATGGATCTTTCTTAGCCCTCTGCATCAACAAGTTTCATGAGAACTTACACAGATCTGTTTGTTGTTCTTAATCTACAGGTACGTGCATATGGACCAGGTCTGAAAGGAGGTGTTGTAGGAAAGCCAGCTCCATTTACCATAGATACCAAGGGGGCAGGCACAGGTGGACTAGGTGTGACAGTGGAGGGTCCATGTGAGGCAAAAATTGAGTGCCAGGACAACGGTGATGGCTCTTGCTCTGTATCCTACATACCGACTGAGCCAGGCGAGTATGCTATCAACGTCTTGTACGCTGATACTCACATCCCTGGCTCACCCTTCAAGGCCCTGGTCCAGCCAGCTTTTGACCCCAGCAAAGTCACAGCTAGTGGGCCGGGTCTGGAGCGCGGCAAGGCCAGCGAGGTAGGCACCTTCACCGTGGACTGCTCCAAGGCTGGAAATGCTGAGCTGACCATTGAGATTGTCTCCGAATCGGGGGCCAAAGCTGAGGTACATATTCAAAACAACAGCAATGGAACCTACTCCATCACCTACACCCCACCCTTCCCAGGCGCGTACACCATCACCATCAAATACGGTGGGCACAATGTGCCCAAGTTCCCTGCCCACCTGCAGGTGGCGCCTGCCATTGATACCAGTGGAGTCAAGGTTTACGGACCAGGGGTGGAACCCAGAGGTAATAAATTACTCCTGACAGAGCTCTCTAACAATGTAACAATAGAAAACAATAGTTAACAATGTATAAAGACAGTGACATTGTGTGGCACTGTGATTTCCCATCATCCTCCATTCTGCTGTAAACAGAAGTCTTATCCTTGATGCATGTCATTAATTACAGGGGTTCTTCGCGAAGTAACCACGCACTTCATTGTTGATGCCCGTGGTCTGACAAAGACTGGGGGCAATCATGTGAAGGCAAGGATAATCAACCCATCAGGGGCAAACACCGATATCTATATTTCCGACAAGGAGGATGGTACTTACAGAGTGGAGTACACTGCATATGAAGATGGTAAGTGTTGTTAGTATCACATCAGATCTACATAATTTGCAATTTAATTTAAGCAGATGCAATTGCAATTAAGTCTAAGACAAATATAAAAAAAGATGAGCAGTGACTCATACAAAAATATATTAATGTTAATGCTACTGCTGTACCTATTGAAGAAGTCTCACTGCTTTTATTAGAGAAGCGACTCAGTGCTTTCACAATAACCCTAAAAATCACAGAATAGTGATATATATTTTTTTACTTTTCCACCATATTGAAAAGGAGGCATTACTCAATAATATGTAAAAGCATTGAATACTGAAAGAAGCAAGTCTGATTCTAAACATTATTTCAGTAGCTTTACAGAGAAGGTGCCCTGGATTCTCTTTAGTTTGGCTAGGTGATCTGGAAGGCTTCAAACTCTCCCTTGTGTGTTGCTGCTTTTATAGAGTTGCGTTTTATTTCATAACAGCACCCACATGGATCATTAAAGAAGTGCCTCTGCTCCTAGTTGAAGGGGGGCAGGGCCTGGAACTGTTCAGGTTTCATTGTCTGCAATACTTCTGCCATATAGGGACAAGTGTTAGAACAGAGGGACATGCAAGTGCAGTCTTTATGGGGGGCTGTATAAATAGCTGTTACATCAAAGCAGAAGCTCGTGGATCGGAGCCAGACTTTGGCATCATGTCACTGACAGGGAGCTGCCCGGAACAGACTCTCAGTAACAACATAACAGTTGCCCAATGGCTGTCGTGGACGTGTCTGGAAGATTCTGGGGAAGGAGGAATTATCCATTTTACTTCAGTTTTGCTTATTAAAAGTTTTTACTGCTCTCTGTATGGGAATATTGCTGCAAAGTTTACATTACAGATAAAGTCTGAATGAAAACATTTAGCATTTTTTCCCTGTGTTGGGAAATCTTGTTTAAAACCATAAGAAATAAACTAATAGCCAAATGTATCATTCTGATTCAGGGAGATCTACATATTTAGAAAATTCACAGATTGATTTGTCCTACACCTAGGTTTGCACCTGATTGAGGTCCTATATGATGACGTCGCCATTCCCAACAGCCCCTTCAGGGTGCAGGTCTCTGAAGGCTGTGACCCGAGCCGTGTGCGTGCCTATGGCCCCGGGCTAGAGCAGGGATTGGTCAACAAGGTCAACTGCTTCACTGTGGAAACTAGGTGCGTGTTGGACATGGTCATAGTGGGTTGGGTTCCATGAGTGGTAAGCAGATTTACTGCCAAACACACAAACAAACTGTTATGTAGAAGGGGGACTGTAGTGTCCCCCACCATGCCACTGTAGTAAACCCCAGTACAGTTTGTTTAGAAGATATATCACTTTTATTAACACTGTTGCCTCACACCTCTCAGACCAGGGTTCTGTCTCCACCATCTATGTGTGTGGAGTTTGCATGTTCTCCTTGTGTTGTTGTGGGGGTTCCTCTGGATTCTCCAGTTTCCCCCCACAATCCAATAACATGCTAAGGTGAATTGGAGTTGCCGATTGGTATGTTGGTGCTCCATCAGAGCTTATTGGCTGCCTTGCCTTGTAGCTTCTGGGAAAGGGTCCAGACTGCTGTGACCAGGGTAGGAGATATGGAGAGAATATGGATGGATGGATGCATGCATGGATATTTTATTTCTGTCTTCCTCCATTCTGATATGGCAGATACCTTTTATCCTGCTTTTTATATTTGCGCAAGTGAGATAGAATTTTGAAGACACACTCCTTTTGCTTTCATTGAATATTTGGGCTGCTATTCCCTCTTCTCCTCAGAGGTGCTGGGACTGGGGGTCTGGGGCTGGCCATTGAAGGGCCCTCTGAGGCAAAGATGTCCTGCACAGACAACAAGGATGGCAGCTGCAGTGTGGAGTACCTTCCCTCTGCACCTGGGGACTATGATATCAACATCTCTTTTGGAGGCCAACCTATCCCAGGTACTATCTTTATGCAATTATAGACCAGCCAATAAAGCAGGCTTGTAATCTGTAGGATAGTGAATAGCCATCTCCGTCTTACAGGCAGCCCCTTTCGTGTGCCTATTAAGGCACCTGTGGACCCCAGTAAGGTGAAGTGCTCTGGGCCTGGCTTGGGGAGTGGGGTTCGGGCTCAGGTTCCACAGACTTTTACTGTGGATACCAGCAAAGCAGGTGTGGCCCCCCTCCAGGTCCAGCTCGTTGGGCCTACAGGTAAGAGGACATGCATTTCCCATCATAGTGTATTAACACAAACATACAGGTAGTTTTGAAGAGTGAGATTCCAAACTGATCTTGATCCTTCAGGGACCATGGAGCCTGTCAGCATCAATAACAATGGTGATGGCACGCACACAGTGAGGTACACCCCCGCTCACGATGGCCCTTACACCGCGTCTGTCAAGTATGCTGAACAACAAGTCCCCCGCAGGTGAGGAGCGCACATATGTTCTCTGACGAAATAGTCAGGGCAAGTACAGAGTGCTTAGTAAATATAACAACAATTAAAATAACATTCAGTACATTATTCCAGATAAAGACAACCTCCACAATCTCTCCACAGTCCCTTCCAGGTCAAAGTGTTGCCCACCCATGATGCCAGTAAGGTCCAGGCCAGCGGCCCTGGCCTCGATTCCTCTGGCGTGCCAGCCAGCCTGCCTGTGGAGTTTACCATTGATGCGCGGCACGCAGGCGAGGGCCTTCTCACAGTGCACATCGTGGTGAGAAAAGCGTCTTGCTCGTTTGGTAGAGAAAAGTGAAATGACTTATATAGCAATATAATCCATATAGCAGTAGCATGGATTAGGATAAAATCACATAAAATAAGCTAATCACCAGGACCCAGAGGGGAAGCCAACCAAGGCGAACATCCGGAACAACAGAGATGGAACCTACACTGTGTCCTATGTGCCTGCAATGACTGGCCCCTACACAATTACCATCAAGTACGGTGGGGATGAGATACCTTATTCGCCCTACCACATCAACGCTGTGCCAACTGGTGACGCTAGCAAGTGTGTGGTCAGGGGTAAGCCATCTCCTATATATTGCATATAAAATTATAAACTATATTCTCACACTGCAACATTTTTTGAAGAGCATCTAGTGAATTAATTTTGTTTTATCTGCAGTATCTATTGGCGGACATGGACTGGGTGAGCAGATAACTTTTGTTTAAAAGCAGAAGTACTGTATATCATTGTCTTGTTGGTTTTGAAAGATGGGAACAGGTAACAGAGTGCATCTCAATCGTTTTTAGGTACAGGTCTTGGCTCCACGATTGTTTTAAGAGATGAAACAGTCATCACTGTGGATGCGAAGGCTGCGGGGAAGGGCAAGGTCACCTGTAAACTGTCAGCTCCTGATGGCTCTGAGCTAGACATGGATGTGGTGGAGAACTCAGATGGTACCTTTGACATCTACTACACTGCCCCTGAGCCAGGCAAATATGTCATCACCATCCGCTTTGGAGGGCAGCTCATCCCCAACAGCCCCTTTAATGTGGTGGTAAGCCTTTCCTGACCAAGTGCATGAGGACCATATGTTTGAAGTAAGAATACTTCAAATATAGACACTGACCATTCCGTAGGTCATTTGAAGAGTATCCATCTTCCTATGATGCCCTGCTCTAAGCAGTGCTATTTGTAAATAAGCTCTTCCTTTTTTTAGGCCACGGATAAGCCCATTACTCCAGTTGGCAGCATGGAGCCAAGGCTTCGTCCCTTCAACCTGGTTATTCCATTCACTGTGCAGAAGGGCGAAGTCACAGGTGAGCTCCAGGAGATAAGGAAAGGCCGTAGCCGAGTTCATCTTATGTGTGACTCTGAATGACCGAGGCATGGAATAAACTTCAATATGTACTTCTTAGGGGAAGTCCGCATGCCTTCAGGGAAGACGGCTACCCCTCACATAATAGACAATAAGGACGGGACATTGACAGTACGCTACTCTCCCACTGAGAAAGGTCTGCATGAGATGGACCTCAAATACGATGGCAACCACATTCCAGGTACAGACCCTGAGAGGAGTATTTGGCAGTAAAGAGTTGCATTAATATGTTGTGAAAAACTGAGTACCTGAGTATTTTTAGATGGTAAACCATTTAACTTCCTATACTTTCCACATTATATCCAGTTAGCTAGTTCTCTTGTTTGTAAGATGCTTAAACAGCAGGATCAGTTAAATTAGGGGTTCCTGGTCTCCTCAGGCAGTCCACTGCAGTTCTATGTGGATGCCATCAGCTGCAGTTATGTGACGGCTTATGGACCAGGTCTGAGCCACGGCATAACAAACAAGCCTGCAGTCTTCACTATTATCACTAAGGATGCTGGGCAAGGTACTTCTCATTCTGCCGTACTAAAAACAGCCTTTTTCTCTAGAGCAATAATGCTTCATTGGTACAAGTGTGTGGCCTCTCCTTTCAGGTGGTCTGTCACTGGCTGTGGAGGGCCCATCTAAAGCAGAGATCACCTGCAAGGATAACAAGGATGGCACATGCACTGTGTCCTACCTCCCGACTGCTCCAGGAGACTACACCATCATCGTAAAGTTCGATAATAAGCACATCCCTGGGAGTCCCTTTACTGCCAAGATCACAGGTGTGTCGGCCATTAGGAGGCAGGCTCATTGCAAATTTGGCACCTAGTTATGTTCATGCACATTCATCCTCAGTAAATGTGGTTCCTATCACCTCATTTAGATAATCTGCATAAGAAACCACACTAAACTGGTTCAGTAGGCTGTAAATGTCGAAAATTTGCTTGCGCATAAAGTAGCAAATACTAATCACAAATGTTTGTTTCTTATTTTGAAATATTCTTAAAGGACATGTTTACCCTACAGATCAAGGCTGGCTCCACTCTGTATACTCTTTTTTTTTTTTTGTTAATTCTCTATGCCTATTATTTGCATATTTTTCAGTTTCTAACCTATAGAAATCTTCGGTGATATGGTAACCTAAACAAGTAAAGCTGTTATATTCAGCTATTTTTTGTGCTTTAAGCTTATTTGAGATTTTTATGCAGAACATTTACTTTTCACATATTACTTTTCTTATGATAAATATTCAAATACTGAACTGCTGTATGTTTGTATCTTAATTTGCGGAACATCTCTTCATATGAGGCGCCAGGTTTTAATTCTGCTGATGCATAGTCAGCTGTCTGCAGACTTCTTACAGAGAATGATCAAAAAGGAGATATTTGTACTTGTATTCAGTACAAATTTTACCACTCACCTCACTCAAGCAGGCTAACTGTTCAGGAATTCAATCAACTGTTGGGAAATTAAGGAATATAGAATTTTTAAAGTGATAAGAGTTTTTGATACGCAAGTTCGATTTAAGACAGTTAAGACAATGTTCTTTGTCTTACTCGTATGTCTGTATCTCATTTTGCAGCTGATGATTCCTTAAGAACATCTCAGTTGAATGTTGGTACAACAACAGATGTGTCTCTGAAGATCACAGAGACTGACCTGAGCTCACTGACAGCCAGTATCAGAGCTCCATCTGGGAGTGAGGAACCCTGTCTGTTGAAGAGGCTGCCCAATCGCCACATTGGTGAGCCTCTCACAAGGCTTCAACTCTTTGTACTCTATGTTGCATGGTTATTTGGGATACAAGAATCCAATGCTTTGAACATTTAATGATTTTATTGATCACACTTACTGTACAAGAAATTTGTCTCGGTGAAGTAAATACTTGATCTTTGTACAGTATAAACCCACCTCAAAGTATTGAGACTTTACTGGAACTGCTCCATGGTGAATATATTCCTTTAAAAACATTTGATGAATTTCAATGTTTCATCTTCAGGATTTTAGTCCGTGGAAGCAATTTGAGTTGGTGCTTCTCTGACCAGCTTTTCTCTTGCAGGGATTTCGTTCACACCCAAAGAAGTAGGTGAACATGTGGTGAGTGTGAAGAAAGCTGGCAAGCATGTGAATAACAGCCCTTTCAAGATCATGGTGGGCCAGTCTGAAATTGGGGACGCCAGCAGAGTCAAGGTGTTCGGCAAGGGCCTACTGGAGGGTCGCACATTTCAAATATCTGAGTTCTTCGTGGACACAAGGAATGCAGGTTAGGGAGTGGTTAAGATTTATTTAGTTATAGTCATAAAAGAACAATGTTTTTGAGGAATGCTTATTGAATCATCTTTTAATCATTCCATCTCCGCATGGCTTGTTTAGGTTATGGAGGTCTAGGGCTGTCAATTGAAGGTCCAAGTAAAGTTGATATCAACTGTGAGGATTCAGAAGATGGGACATGCAAGGTGACCTACTGTCCCACAGAGCCGGGTAACTACATCATCAACATCAAGTTTGCTGACCAGCATGTCCCAGGTAAACCACACCACCGGTGCAGCATGGAAGTTGCATTACCTAATGCAGTGCCTGTGAGCAAGGACGGTTCAGATATTACGAACCTCTGCAGCCAACCCTGACAAAATCTGCTTCCCTTGCAGGAAGTCCATTCACAGTGAGGGTTACTGGTGAAGGCCGCATGAAGGAGAGCATCACCCGGAAGAGACAGGCATCATCTATTGCCTCGGTGGGCACCACCTGTGATCTCAACCTCAAAATTCCAGGTGCGATTCTTTGCACTCTTCAAATGGTCATTCAAAGGAGATAACACAATAGAGCAGCTGCATGTGCTTTGTCTATGTGTACCTCCAAAAAACTGACCAGCGTGACCCAGGGCGTAGGTCTCATATTAACATTGGGTTGGATGGGTATATCAGGGTCAAACATGTGACATTACGTTGCATTATTGGTACCTGCCGTAGCTGGAGTTTAGATTAAACCATTTTAACACAGGTTACCGGTTCTCCAGGTAAAAACTATCAGAAAAAAAAATGTAATTATGTGATGAGATATATTAATCCTATGCGTTTTTTGTAAACCAACCATTATATGATATATTTGATCATCCTTCCCCTCCCCCCCACCCATCTCAACACTGGGACGATGTCTCCCCTGAACCCCCAAAATCTACACCTATAAATGTGGCATTAGAAGGATCTGGTCTTGTATAGTGCTGTGAATGCCCTTTGTCCCTTCTGTTTCTCAGGGAATTGGTTCCAAATGGTGTCGGCTCAGGAGCGATTAACACGGTCCCTCATGCGCAGCAGCCATACATATATGCGTACAGAGCGCACACAGGTCAGCCAGATACGCGGCGGAGAAACCCACCGGGAAGTCCATGTGGAGGAGAGCACACAGCTTGGGGGGGACCCCTTCCGCAACATCTTTGGGGGATTCCTGAGTCGAGACAGCTTGGGCTCCTTTAGCGGGATGCCTCTCAGACAAGAAGGTATGTGTGAGCGCCATCCTGCTGGCCAGAATTCATAATACAAAAAGAGAGGAAATTACTCAAGCGAGGAAATTACTTGTGGCAACTGTGACCTTTTAGGAATTCACCGTACATTTCCATATGAACTCATGTGAATGGGTTTAAAATAGCATTGTAATAAATAATAATCAGCCATGGTAGATTTTATCTGTAAATTCAGTGGGGAGATCTGCCACAGTATACAGTTTCTCCCTTGAGAGTGTGTTTCAGCAGTCTGCCTGCTTTCAGCTATCTCCCTTGAGAGTGTGTTTCAGCAGTCTGCCTGCTTTCAGCTATCTCCCTTGAAGCCGGCACCCAGGAGATGACTGCCCAGGTGACCAGCCCTAGTGGCAAAATGGAGACCACAGAGATTGTGGAGGGTGAGGACAGCACCTACAGCGTGCGATTCGTGCCCCAGGAAATGGGCCCCCACACTGTCAGCGTCAAGTACAGAGGCCAGCACGTCCCTGGGAGCCCCTTCCAGTTCACAGTGGGGCCCCTGGGGGAGGGTGGAGCCCACAAGGTTTGAGCAGGCGGCCCAGGGCTGGAAAGGGGTGTGGCGGGTGTCCCAGGTTAGTTTTCCTGAAATTTCTGTGAACGTGATTTTAAAAACTGCCTTGGCACCAAATCAATCCCTGGAGACAACTGATCATGTGATCAAGTACTTATAAAATTCCCTGCAGCGGAATTCAGCATCTGGACTCGGGAGGCTGGAGCCGGGGGGCTATCCATCGCTATGGAGGGTCCCAGCAAGGCAGAACTCTCTTTTGAGGACAGGAAGGATGGCTCATGCGGAGTCATCTACATTGTCCAGGAGTCAGGTCAGATATTCCTGTAAACACCTTATAGCAGCCAATAATGTAATAACGTGCCAATAATGTAATGAATTTCTCAGTTCTTAATGTAATAAAAGTTGATAATGAAATAACTTAGAAGTTATTACATTATCTCCAAAATCTATTACATTATTGATTCAGCAAATGTATTACATTATTGGCCAGTTTTTACATTATCAACTTTCATTACATTAAGAATGGAACTTATTCCATTATTGGTAGTTATTACATTATTGCCTGCTACACACTCAATGCACCCACCTGCCGAGATGACACACCTTTAGCATTGAGAAAGTTTTCTCAAAACACAGTTTACCGGCAAATCAGTAGTACTAGTACTTGTGCAACATGCCATGAAAATAAAAAGAATCCAATAAGTTCACCCTGGGATCTTTACTGGAACTGAATTCCTGTTACCTTGCTAACTGAGATATTGTGCTGAAATGCAGACACTAGCGTTGTGTTTGTGGTTGTCTTTCTGCAGGTGATTATGAGCTGTCAATCAGGTTTAATGATGAACACATACCTGACAGCCCATTCATCATTCCGGTCGCTAAACTGTCAGATGATGCTCGACGGCTCACAGTGACCAGCCTTCAGGTGGGCCCAGCCACACTGAGCCAGACACAGCTGCTGTTCCCCAGACATGAGATCCTGGTCTTTCCCACCCCTTTGGGGTCCCGCAGTGACGCTCTTTCATGAGCTTCATCTTGAGAAACCCCCTTTCATTCTAATTCCATTTACTTTCTCTTCTTCTTTGTCCTGACCCTCACTATAATTTTCTCCTTCCTGCCATTGGCCATGACGTTCTTTCCGCCAGTTCGTCTCTCAGCTTCTGAATCGCCCCCAATGTTGTTTCAGGAGAAGGGTCTGAAGGTGAACCAGGAAGCCTGCTTTGCAGTGCAGCGAAATGGAGCACAGGGTGTTATTGATGCCAAGGTGCACAGGCCATCTGGGACAGTGCAGGAGTGTTATATCAATGAGCTGGACGGTGGTAAGGAAGCACAGCTGGTGAATGGAATTAGAGATAAAATGAGAGCAAACTTTGTTGTGACACATTCTTTTCAGGAAATTAAGTCATATAGCTAAAGATCTTTTACCGTAAACTGTTTTGATGCTTTTCCTGTCAGAGTCAAAGAAAGTTTCCTTCTCTTGGTTTCCACAGACAAGACTGCAATCCGCTTCATTGCACGGGAGACTGGTGTTCATGCCATTGATGTAAAATTTAATGGGAGCCACATCCCTGGCAGCCCTTTCAAAGTCCATATAGGGGAGCTGGAACAGGCTGGTGACCCAGGGATGGTTTCTGCATTTGGAGCTGGTCTAGAAGGCGGCACTACAGGTATGACTCTGGCCATCAAGTATGTTTTTATTGTGCTGATTCTGTGTGACATAATCTGTACTCTCTTATATTAACTTGTTCAGATTAAACATTTTAATTTCTTAAGTTGTATGTTTTGCATTTATTGGACAGCACACTGATTGTCATCTCATGTCTCCTGTTGCCCCCTCCCCACAGGAGTGCCCTCTAAGTTTATTGTGAATACAAGTAATGCAGGATCGGGGGCCCTGTCTGTCTCCATCGACGGACCCTCCAAGGTGAAGCTTGACTGCTGCGAGTGTCCTGAAGGATACTTAGTCACTTACACACCCATGGCACCGGGGAACTATCTCATCTCCATCAAATATGGCGGGCCACAGCACATCGTCGGCAGTCCATTCAAAGCTAAAGTCACAGGTGCATTACTATTTTGCGGTTTTATCATGTCCCTAGTAGTGGTGCTTCTCCAGTGTCTATGAGGGAGAGTGAAACAAGGCTGTGCAGTGTAGTTTGGAAATTATATTCTTTCTCTGTCTTTTCCTTTAGGTGTTCGTCTGTCAGGGGGACACAGTCTTCATGAAACCTCATCCGTTCACGTGGAAACGGTCACCAAAATGGGCAGCGCCTACAGCACCCTGTCCAAATTCTCATCAGATGCGAGCAAGGTGGTGTGCCGAGGGGCAGGACTCTCCAAAGCTTTTGTGGGACAGAAGAACACCTTCACTGTAGACTGCAGCAGAGCAGGTGAGCGAGCATATACACTCACGTGTGCATGCTCAGGCACCCTAGGATCAGGGTCCGAATTACGCAGTGGCTTTCATGGGAGTCCCATTTTCCAGTGCGCACCACAACTTCCCAAGTCATATGCACGTGCATATATATAACTGCACGGCAGGGTGGTCAATAACAGGGTCACTGCAAAAAACATTCTACTATTACTACTGCAGGCAGTTAATACCGTCAATAACATTTCATATGGGCAAAAAAGCAGCAACATCAGAATCATGCAAGGCGCTTAGTAGCCTAATCAGAGCAAACAGAAAACAATTCCTAAAAATCTATCCCTCAGTGACAGTATGTTCTCTTCCAGGCACGAACATGTTGATGGTGGGCGTTCATGGACCCAAGGCCCCATGTGAGGAGGTGTATGTCAGACATATGGGTAACAAGTTATACAATGTCACCTACACAGTCAGAGAGAAAGGAGACTACATCCTTATTGTCAAGTGGGGAGATGAAAATGTGCAAGAGAGCCCCTTCCAAGTCACTGTGCCCTAGAACACATCCTCTTTGAGGAATGCACTGCAACATGCATAAACTCTTAATCTCTCCTGATAATACACTGAATTTATAGTTAAAGTATTGGAGCTGATTTTGTGTTATTTTTTGAGCATGATTATACGCTTAGAGCCATAACAAAAACTTCCTTTGGAAGATCAGCACTTTAGTTTTTCTTATTAATTTTTTTAATTCAAATATGCAAACCATTTCATCAAGCTTTACGTTAGTATAATAGCTTTTAAAGGTTTTTATAGTTTTCTTCTATTTAACAACCTTGGCAAGATTACTGTAACACATGACAGCACACATTGCCTTTTTCAGTTATGTCACTGTCACGTTGATATTAAGATTTTCTTATGACAGATTTCTTCGGACTTCAGAGGGAAAATAATCAAAGAAAAAATACAGAAACATTGATTAAGATATCTTATTCGTGAGTGTTTTAGAAATAAGAAGTTAACAGTACTCTGAAGTTTTATCATTTTGTATGTATTTAAATGGAAACCTAATAGTTTGTTCTAATAACCTTTTGTTTGGAAAGAAAGCACACATAATAAAGATAATAAAGCTAATTTGCCAAAAGAAATAATTGTCTGTAATGATCAAATGTACTGTTGAAGACATTAAGTGGTGATGCTTGATCTAAGTGAATGAGTCATACTTCTTCATTTCTAAATGGCTGATTAGAAAGGTGATTATTGACGGTGATGGAAAAACATGTTCATTCAAAAGATTTATACATTTACCTTTGGCAGAATTAGCCATTTTACCCATAGGATTTGCATACATCTGTTTTTCAGATGTTTGCTAGCTTCCCTAACCTCCTAAAACTGCTTCTGTAACATGAATATATAACAGACACTTAACATGACTGAACAAGCCATCCATTAAACTACCTGCTGTGGAAATTGCACATCATAAATGCAGATTCAGAAACTATCACAGTTTCTACTGCAGATATTCAGTTGCAGAACAGTATTGTTTGCGGAATGCCAAAGTGCCAGCTATTTCAATCTGAAATCAACAATGTAGTTCAGTATGTACTTATACCACGGCAATGTCCAATTCTCAAATCTGAAGGGTGTTGATTGATTTTCTAAAACCGCACACATAATGCTGGCCAGGTGAATCACAGTAATAAATCCATGCACAATTATAATCTTTAATTCTACCCACTGATAATGAGCAGAAACTATAAAAGCAAAGAAGTTGCTACAGATCACTTAGATAACAAAAGTGTTTCAGACTGAGGACCAGGAGCCTGTATTACAAAGCAGGATTCATGATACAGGCCCCAGAACCTGTGGTCAGTAATTAGATTCCAAAATTATTTACTGATGTAATACACTTGTAGGCCAGTCATACTTTACAGTGCAGTAGTGTGTAAGTGTGACCCAGGTTGGTTTAAAGGGACAGAGCCACTCTCACTGCATGGTGCAGGTGAAAAAAGGTGATGATCGATGGCTCCAAGAAAAAGGGTGTTTATTAATGGAACTGACAACGCTGGGGAAGGTACAAAACAAAGAGACTGCAAGGGGTCAAAACAAGATGGGAGAAATAAAAACTTAACAAAAGAAACCACAAAGCAAAGACACTTGGGAACTGAGCAACAGAACAGAGCAGAGCAATAAACACACAGTAAACACAATGACTGATTAATGAACAAATTGAGGGGATGCATTTAAATACACAAAGAATACCAGATCAAACAAAGGACAGGTATAGATCATAATCAAATGAACCAATCACTAAAGGAACAGGACAATGAGTCACAGATGGTTCAATTAACAAGCACAAAACTATGGAATTCTACAAACACTGAAACTAGGAAACACTAACCCTCTGCGCAGGGAATTACTATGCTAGGATAATTAACCTGGAACCAAAACACAAACAGGACCAGACGTGAACAGGACACAAGCAGGGCAAACCTATAACCGGGAAACAAATTAGAAAACACCGAACACTGGAGAAACAGAAAACCAGTAAATACAGTACAGATGAAGTTGGCTACTGACCAGCTGAAAACCCATAACCAGAGGGTTATGGGTTGAGCCACACACTCAACCCACTGAGCTATGCAGTGGTCCAGGGAGCAGGGAGAATACACTAGGGCTGAAGGGCAATACGACAGGGAGGGGAAAAGCAGGATAACCAGCGATGCCTGCTGGCCAAATGGGAAGAGTCACAGAGGGCAAGGTTGGATGCTACTTACCCTAATAACCACAGTGGAAGAAGCTTAACAACCAGGTGAGGGACATGTGATTGATGCGCGGCTAGAAGCATTGTCCACAGAGGTAAGGGTGGAACTGGCAACAGGCTTGGATGACAGCCAGGAGTTTGCAGTGGGTCATGCAGTAGTTGCACTTGGGATGGCTCAGTGTCTGGCTGAAGTAAGCTACCAGCCTTTCACGCACAGGCCACACCTGTGACAACACGCCAAACCCTTGGTTGCTGGCATCCATGTCCAGGACGAAGGGACGTGCTGGGTCAGGATACACCAGTACAGGGGCCTCGGTGAACACAGTCCAGAGGCACTCGAAGGTGGGGGGCTTAGTTCTCAGTCCATTCGATGGAACGCCCCTTTCCGGCAAGGTGGTGGAGCCATTTAGTGGTTTTTCGCAAAGTTCTCCATGAACCAGCAGTAATAAGATGCAAGACCCTTTTGAATGACAATGAAGACAGTACACAAGTTTTTAAACACTGCATCCAAATCTAGAGCACAGGTGAGCAGATTGCCCAGGTATATGACGCACTGACAGGGGGTTGCCAGAACACCTGGGGGCGAGTCTGCTGTTGTGCCTGTCTGCTACCGCTTGCTGGCATCAGTCTTTTTGAAGGGTCAATGTGTCCATGTTGAGATGGGGTGTGGCCCCTGTGAGCCCCCAAGTATCACAGCAAACCCAGTCTGATGATGCAGGCATCCAGAATGTTGGCCAGTCTGACCTCCTGGTCAGTGGTCTGGCCCCTCAGCGTGCACACGCCGGTCACTGACTCAAGTTTGGCCTCTATTGCTTTCCACCCCGACAGGGCCGACTCGTCTGTACCTGGGAGGATGCCCGAGCAGTAATGTTGTCAAAAGTAACGAATGTCCCTAATGTATTGATTCTCTTGTGTAAAAAATCAATTTAATATTCATTTTCATGGTATCAATTCTATAGTCTGCACTTCCGGTTTGCTCTGACCACTGAGGCTTGTAGACACATGGAGTGTTACTAAGATGAATAGCTTCCACCACTGTGCGTAATCAATAAAGAGTGTAGTTAGAGTGGTGTCTGGAAATGCTGGGGGCTTACTGGGGGGTGAAGGCTCCATCTCGACACAGCTTGCTTTGATTCTCCCATTGGGGCTCCTGGAGTTGCAGGTGCAGCTTAACAGCGGGTGTCATAGCTCCTAGCGTGACTCGTGTGGTTGCTGAAAGAGACAACATCTCTCCAACCATCTCTGCCACTGCCAAGGCATCAGCCAGCACCTGGAAATGTTGGCGAAGCCACTCTGGAATTAATGCCTTGCCAATGGCATGGAGTGCTATCTCTTTTTGCATAGCATGAGGTAACCCCATCATGCATAACTGTAGAGATCAGCAGCAAAATCGCCCAGTATCTCTCTCACCTGCCTCTGCCAAATCGGCGGCTTCTCCCTCATAGCCTCTGCTGACAGCTGTAGGTGGATACAGTGCTTCAGTGCTGCACCCAGAGGGTCACAGTCCCCCTGCTCATCCGAGGTGAGCCTGGGGAGGACCTGGAGCACTTTCCCCTGCATCGCCAGTGCCAGAAGAACCACAATCTACATGAAGGAGCAGCTATTTTGCCACTCCATAAGATGCATAGTGAGCAGTAGGGCTTCAGTGACTCCTTTTCAATGTAGTGGGGAAGCTTCATGACAGTCTTTGACCCCCTGCTTGCTGCTTTCAGATTTGGGGGTGTGTCTTGGAGTAGAGCTGTGGCTCCCTCTGCTGCCTAATGTTGGCAGTGCAACACAATAACTCCATGGAGCCGCCCTGGGAAGGCGCAATGCTCAGTTCCTGGGGAACTAAAGCTCAGTTTAACTTCTTGACTTTATCAGTTGAGCATAGGCTGTATTGATTTTGATACTGCATGCAAATATGTGCATACATATGAGTATATATGAGATGCATAATTTGCATCTATTATCAAATATAGAAAGAAACTTTATAAATGTTATTATAAATTGCAAAATTATAATTTTAAAATGTATATTCATTCTGCAAAGTTGAAGGAAGGAGAATATTTTAGCCTATTCACTTGGAGTACCTCCTCTTAAGTGAAAATTTTCACCCTTAATTTTAGATGAATTCTAGACTATTTCGTTTTCCATTAGTCTTTGTGACAACATTAACATGTGGACTAAAGTTTGACAGACTCAGCAGTTTGTATCTTGGAAAAGAAAGTAGGGAATTGTGCCGATTTGCTCCATCTATATGTTATGCCAATGTCTGTGGATGCTGTTATTACATTATTTGTTCATGTTATTACATTATCTAACAAAAATAAATATTATATATTAGTTTCATAATGTAATTAAATGCCAATAATGTAATAAGTTATTACATAAACAAATCTAATGCTAGCAAAATGGAAGCGATTCATAACCGGTTTCTGCCAAGTTTTATATTTCATATTTGTATGTTTGTATTCTATGTTATTTTTATATATTTATATATTATTAGTGGACTAAGCCTGTGTACCTGTAATCACAAGGTCGCCGGTTCAAACCCAGCCTCAGCACGTCTGTGGGTCCTTGAGCAAGGCCCTTAACCCCCAGCTCCCTGGGCGCCGCTACGGGTGGCTGCCCTTCGCGGGCAACTTACTCTACAAAGAGCAAGTTGAGGGAGGCGTAAAAACAATTTCCCCACGAGGATCAATAAAGTATCAATTATTATTATTATTATTTACTTTGAGTTGGAACTGCTACTATCAAATACATTTGTGGCTTTCACTGTCTGTGAAATTACGTTATAAACATATATTTCTACAATAAGTGGGATTTATAAACCTGTAACTTGTGTACTTTACAAAAGGTTTTATACATCTGACTTATGCTGTTCGTACTGTACAAACATTTGAGTTTTTGTATGTACGTACATTCTTCCATGGGAATGTACGAATATTTTTTAAAATGAGCCCCCTGCTCACCACTGTTAAGCTGGTGGGGGGTCAGTGATGTTGAGTGGCTGTGCTTTCGCCAATGACCACGAGAATTTTGTTAGGATACATGACTCCATAAAGTACCAGGAGATTTTAAATCAAAATCTGGCTGCCTCTTCCAAGAAACTGAAACTGGGTTGTGGTTGGATCAATGATCCAAAACATCCTTCCAAATGCACACAAAAATGGTTCAGTTACATCAGTACCCAGCTTATTCCTTGACCATCCCAGTGCCCTGACCTAAATGCCAGTCGATACCTGCGGACCGAGCTGATTCTGAGAAAGGCCCTATCAATCTCCAGGATCAGCAGGTCTCAAATTCTTTTCTCTCTATTTTCCAATCTCATCAGTTAAAGGTGTTCTTTCAACCATCCAACAAGATATCATAAAATTTTTGCATTGATAAGAAATTCTTGCAATTTTTATTGTTACAGTTCATTTGTATGTAAGCTAATGTTAAATTTTACATTCTAATTTTAAACTTTTGTTGCCATGAACAAGATCCTGCCAGATGTCCAGCATATTTAATGCTGGGCTCTCCTGTTCAGTGTTAGGTTAACGCTAGTCTGGAGGCTCCGGTCTGTTCAGGGTCATATTAATAATGAATGCTATTTGTAGATGCCTGGCCAACGTGATTATTGCTGGCGATTGATACACAAAAGTTAACAGAATAGTACATAGTCTTTCTGTTTACTTTCTGAGTTCAGTTGCATTATTAAGGTTAAATTTAAAACTCAAAATGCTGAATGAATGTTAAATGAAATGAGGAGCCACACCTCATGTCTGATGGGGGAAACACAGGTGTTTGCCCCCAAGGACTTAATTTGTTTTCCATACGAATAATAAATTTCCCCATAAATTTTCGCCAGCTTCAGCTTCAAAAACAGTGGTGATCTGTCATATTTCTTTTATAGAAATATGTTCTGAGCTGACAGGTGCTGTGCACTACAGCCCATCGGTGCTTTGTTAAGGATATTGTGTAGTCACTGCATTATCAGATGGATCCTTTGTAACTAAGTGTGGCTGTTTAGCATTGTCAGCACCAGTGTGGTTAATAATAAATACTGCGATACAAATTCAGTGGATAGCTCCTAACTTCCATTTTAAACAGCATAACTTACCAAAACAAACTTGCATAGTCTATATGCTGTATGAGACCGGATAAGGTGACTTCACTTTCTTTGCTGTTTAATACTCCTCAGACCTGAGCATCTCTTTGAGTTGTAGGTGGAAACCTGTAAACAAGGAGAAAATGCCAACAAAAGAACATTTTAAAGGTCTGTAAGATTCCACGAGACAGGGTCTCCTAGACTGCAGAACTCAGACAAACATGACATGTAGTGCTAAATTACTGTCAAGTAAAACCACAATTTTACTGATATTTTTTTTACTGTATGGCCATTTTATTGCATAGTACTTTTAACTGTTTTTGGATGAATATCTTTATGCCCTTCTCAAACGAGTGACCTTGACTATGTTACAGTAACGTAAGTTTGACAGAACCAGATCTGCACATCCAACAGATGCAAAAGCCACTTCCCCTTGACATCCGATATGACGAAAAGACACCCAGGACACCATAGTGGTCAGCAGTTGCTCCTAGTTGGAGGTTAAAATTCTGCGTGTCCTCACATGGGTTTTCTCTGGGCACCTGGGTTCCCATCCGCAGGGCTAAAACATCCAGTTAAGTAGAACTGACAACTCCAGAGTGCCCCTAGTGTCTGACGGTATGTTTGGATATGTATGTGTACGTGGCCTGCAAGGTGCTGGTATCCTGGTCAGCTTATTACCCTGTCCTGAACCCCTACACTGCCTGGGAATCTGACATACTTTCAGCGGCGTGGACTGGCCATGGGGAAGTTCGGGAGCTTTTCCAGTGGGCTAGTCTTGTGAGGGCCGGTCTTTCCCAACCTTGGCATTAAATAGCTCATATTCCAGGGATGCCCAACCCACTGATCACTCTTGGCAGGTTTCCAGGTCAAATTGCAGGAAATTATTAATGAGTAACTTATAATGATCAGCAAAATATACCAAGCCCCCCCCCCAAGTCAGCAACAAATTTCTGGGCTGTTGTCAGTCCCCTGTCACCACCAGGTGCTCCACCACCCATTTATGCCATTGGGTTTTTCATTGTATAACTGAGCTGTGAATATACACACAATAAATAAAGATTGAATTTAAGCAGATGGTTGGGTAGCAGTGTTGCCTCATTCCATTTGGCCTGAAGGGGTATAATTTGACCTCTGCACTGTGTGTGTGTGTGTGTGTGTGTGTGTGGAGTCTGCAGGATGTGTGGACAAGCATTTTGTTGAGCATCCAGGGGGTCTTCAGCAATGTTCCTTGGTGGCTCTTTGTTATATTCATGGTTCATGCTCACTCTCAATTTTAGACTTCAGACAGTCTATGTGTGTATCAGCAAAAATGAACCAAATCAAACACACGTATATAGTCTGCTCGATCAAAGAAGTGAATACATTGCGCATCCATCCATCCATCCATCCATCCATTTTCCATATGCAGGGTCACAGGGGTCCCGAGCAAAGCTGACAGAGACAATATCTGCACACAATGTGGTCAGCACAGTATATGTCCTTAATGTCAGCTTAAATGTGTATTAGTGTATGTGTCAGTATATCTGTTTAAAAAATGTGCTTAACGAATAGTGCGTCTAGATTGTTCTCCAAACAATTTTACTATTTATAGTAGCAGTATTCGTATGTATGGGGAACATTGCTAATTTGCATCCAAGATATGATTAGAGGGAACAGCGGGTGACACGCCTCTTTTCCAGGTGAAAGATGTTGGGGTCTTTATGCGGCACTGCTGTAGGTATAAGAAGAAGTGAAAGTATCAACTTTGTGTTCACTTTTCCTATCAAGTATCTTGATTTTCGATGTTCCCAGTTTTCCCCTGGTTGTTTCCCGCTGTCGGCACTAGTGGCATCCCCGCCAGTCCGCAAAATGCACTGACTGAAAGTTACTCTGCGTCAAGTACAACGGCGGGGAATTAATTTGGTAATTCTTGCAACGTGTTCGTTTTAAGCATGTTGTTGATTTGTTTTCGAAGCTCTTTTTCCAATTGCGATGAATACAAAAGAATAAAACCTGCATGAAAGAGGCTATTCTTATAAAATAGGTAAGTTGTGTTTCGGTTTGGGGAAATCTTTTTAATTTGTTCATGTAATTTGGATTGTTTAAAATGTCTGAGTTCTGCTTCATTATTGTTATACAAAACTGAGTCATGAGACCGATATTTTCTCCTTGTACATTTGATGCAAATCACAAAGCTTAATTTTACGTAACCTATAATATTATTATTATGCTTGAAATAGAAGGGGTGCAGACCCCTATATTTTTGGAGCTGGGAAATTTTTGTTTGCTCCCTACCAGCTATGTATCCAGGTAGTAAAATAGAGTTTGAACCCCTTGAAATTTGTCGGACCTCTCTCGAAAATAATTTCTGGTATCTGGCCAGGATTCATATATACAGCCACGGAAAAAATTAAGAAACCACAGGACGATTTTTTGTTTCACTCATTTATCAGTCTATGGGTGTGCGTCTCTGAATAATATATATTATTTTGCAAACTGCAGCCCGGTCCCAGTGTCACCTGCTTATAAACATAGACATATATATATGCTCCATAAGTATATTTTATTTATTTATTTATTTATTTATTTTTCCAGGTATCTTCCCCCCATACTACCGTGGTCCCCTGATAGCCAAACTAATCCTGGCTATTGCAAAAGAAGTTTGGCATGGCAGCAGAAAATGCAACTTGGCTTCCCTTTGCCCAAGCGGCAGCTATAGGGTGGATACCGGTGGCGAGGTCTTCCATGCCGGGTCCGCCAGCGCACCGGAAAGCACCTGACGGCTTCATTATTCTCAATGTCAGTGGAACAAGATTTCAGACTTGGCGTAACACTTTAGAGCGGTTCCCGAATACATTACTTGGCTGCACTGAACGAGATTTTTTTTTCCACGAAGAAACTAATGAGTACTTCTTCGATCGAGACCCTGAGCTCTTCAGACACATCCTGAACTTTTATCGCACTGGTAAATTGCACTACCCGCGACACGAGTGCGTTTCGGCGTACGACGAAGAGCTGGCTTTCTTCGGGATCATGCAGGAGAACATGGGGGACTGTTGTTACGAAGATTACAAGGACCATAAGTGTGAGAACCTGGAACGGATGCAGGATGCGCAGGACACACTGACAAAAGAGAATCACGAGAACGATGTTCTTGCTGGTATGACCCTGAAACAGTCCATGTGGAGAGCTTTTGAAAATCCGCACACGAGCACTCCGGCTCTGGTGATTTATTATGTCACTGGGTTTTTCATCGCAGTTTCCGTCCTGGCCAACGTGTTAGAAACGGTACCATGTGGGACCTCAGCGAAGACGACAGTCTCCTGCGGGAAGCGCTACCAGCTGCAGTTCTTCTGCTTAGATACTGCCTGTGTGATGATTTTCACGATGGAATACCTGTTGCGTCTGTTTGCTGCGCCAAACCGACTCAAGTTTGTTAAAACTGTGATGAGTATTATAGATGTGGTTGCGATCATGCCATATTACATAGGACTCTTCATGACTGACAAAGGCGAGGTGAGCGGAGCCTTTGTCACTTTGAGGGTGTTCCGAGTGTTTCGCATTTTCAAGTTCTCCCGTCATTCTGCAGGCCTGCGTATTCTGGGCAACACTTTGAAGAGTTGTTTCTCCGAGCTGGGGTTTTTGCTCTTTTCTTTGACGATGGCTATCATTATTTTTGCAACGGTGATATTCTACGCAGAGAAAGGTGTGAAAAGGAGCAAGTTCACCAGCATCCCAGCATCCTTCTGGTATACTATTGTCACAATGACCACGCTCGGGTAGGTGAACTATTCTGATGCTTATGTGTTTGTTTCATGCTATTAATATTTACTGCAAAGATTTTGTGTGTATAACAATAGGCTACATATTTTTCCTCAACTGAAAAAGCAGTATGAGCCCCAATAATAAGTACAATTGATTGAATTATCATGAGTTAAATGAGTCCTAATTATTGGTAGTCAAGTGCCTGACTTTTTCCTGCCCCTCTGTCTGCCATTATGAATGTTATGGTATGCTTGTTCCTCTGTTCTCCTGCCCAGTTTGATTCCCTGTGGTGTCGCTTAGTTTTTGTTGTGCTTCGCTTCTTGGTTTTAGTTAATTCAGTGTTTTTTCTCTGTTTGTTTCCTGACCACTCATGGTCCTTTTGTTTTGCAGCTTTAGCCTGTGTCCAGTTTCTGTAATAAACCGTTGTTTGTTTCTGAACTACAAGTGGGTCGTCACCTTCCTTTCTCCACAATGCCCCGTGTCTTTAACAGTGTATGAAATATAAACATCATATATTTAATGTAAATATGTTTTCAGTTATATCTGGTTAGTTAATTGCACAATGAGAAATTATAAACGAGAACCAGACAGATGTTATCTGAGCACAGCTAATGCAGAATCACAGCATGACTGTCAGCATTAGTGACAGTTTAAGAAAGAAACCCGATGATCAGGAACGTCATTGTTCCCCCCTCCTGAGTCTGGGACAATAATGCTTAACCTTACTACAATGCACTTGGAAATACCAAGGTCAATGGGTCATTGAAGACATTTTCCATTTATAAGATCTTGTAAACTACCAATCATGGAGTTTCGATCCATTGTCCATGATCACTGACGGACCAACTAGGAATTGCATCGCTTGACATTCTCCGTGTCTTCTTTTTTTATGTCTCACAGGCTTATTCCTGCACAGTATTTAGCCTCATGTAATCCAAATGAAAAGCCTCTTTTTCTCTTTCTTGAACACAATGATCTGTTCCTCCCTCACAGGTATGGTGACATGGTTCCAAAGACCATCATGGGAAAAGTTTTTGGGTCGATCTGTTCACTGTGTGGGGTGCTGGTCATTGCTCTGCCTGTGCCTGTGATTGTCTCCAATTTCATCCGCATCTACCAGCAAAGCCAGCGTTCAGAAAAGCGGCAAGCACAAAAGGTACATCTTGCATTCAAACTGTCCCACCAGTATAGAAACACATAAGACACATATCCAGTCATTTATATTCATATGTGTACATGCACACTTATATATGAAAACAAAATGTCATGCAATGTTGCATGCACAATTTCTATTTCTTAAAAAAAATATATAAAATTTTAGTTTGTTTTTTAGAAGACTTTTACTAAAAGTTTGTTACCATAATAGAATTATAATAGGTACTTCATTAATCTCACTGGGTAATCATCACCTGTCTTGCTCTGCTAATTTCATATAATGTGGCATGGAAGTATGCTAATACTTTTATCTTCATCTGACTTGCGTTTCTCTATGAATTTTTATTCATACAATGCATAATATACAGTTAGGTCCTTAAATATTTGGATATTGATAAACTTATTGTTATTTTTCCCTTTTTTCAAAAAACATATAATGAATGTGGGCTTGAAGTACAGACTATAAAGTGTAATTTAACAGTTCAGGAATTACAACACTTTCTATATGTAGTCCCCTCCTATTCAAGGGACCAAAAGTAATTGGACAATTGACTGACAAGCCATTTCAGGCTGTTATATCATTAACAATTAAGCAGTAAAAAGGACTGGAGTTGATTCCAGGTGTGGAATTTAAATTTGGAAACTGTTACTGTGAACTCTTGATATAAGGCTTCAGTGCATGTAAAGCAGGGAATCACTGGGCTGAGAAAATAAACGAACCCATCAGAGAGATCAGAAACATTAGAAGTGGCCAATCAATTATTTGGTACATTCTCGTTCTTAAAAACAAGGAACGCACTGGTGAGGTCAGCAAAGGCCTGTATGACCATGGAAGACAGCTGTGGTGGATGATTCATTCCTTGATCAAGAATAACCCCTTCAGAATATATAGCCAAGTCAAGAACACTGCTCAGAAGGTAGACATATTATTGTCAAAGTCTACAATGAAGAGAAGATTTCATAAAAGTAAATATAGAGGGTTTACAACAAGGTGCAAATCACTGATAAGCCTCAAAAATAGTTATCTAAAAAAGTGTTTTGCCAGAAAACATCTAAAAAGCATGTCCAGTTTTGGAACAATATTCTTTGGACAGATGTATCTAAGATCCACCTGTACCAGAATAATGACAAGAAACGGGAAGTATGGAGAAAGGAAAGAATGGCTTATGATCAGAAGCATACCACATCATCTGTTAAATGTGGCAGAGGCAGTGTTATAGTACGGGCATGTATGGCAGCCAATGGAACTGGGTCACTAGTGTTTATTCCATGGATGAGAAATGCATATGTTTTGGAAGCGGTCTGTAATTACTGCCACTGCAGAAACATTGTCTGGATGATTAATTGGAGCTTTTCATATTTTGAGACCGATCACTCCAAAACTGTACCAGCATGAAATAGTGAGAGCAAAGAAAAGGGCAGTTTGAAAAACATGGTCCCATTAGTGCAATAACTCAAAAAATATTTGGTGGATTATTTTCAAACTTCAGAGAAGTATTGGTGAACAACTGGAACTGGTCAAAATTTTAAGATAAACTGGACCCAAAATGAAGCATGCTGCTTCGTGGCAGCAAAGGGAAGGGTGACTGCTAACAACATTTTATCTTGTGAAGGCCATCAAAAGGTATTTAATGAATCTTATTACTGCTACAAACAAATATTATATGGTTGAAGTTGTACACTTGATTCCATTCACGGTATATGAAGGAGGTCTGTACAGTGCCTATGAATCCTGACATACTCTAAGAAAGATCATCACTTACTCTGTTTATGCTGGGGAAATATTCCCTGTCTTTGGGATAAACCCTGGCTGTGAGCTGCCTTATCTGCACTGAGGAAAATGAGAGAGGAGATGAGATGCTAAAAAATGTGCTTTTTCACACAGAAAAGCAGGCTGGTTATGACTCGGCTTGCCAGGAAGAGTGGTGCTAGCAGCTATTTGCAGTACAAGCACGGTGGGCTCTTGAGAGGCTCCAAGGAAGAGGTAACTAAGCATCACAGGGTCAGCTGATGCATGCCCTTACTTTCCTATTACGTTGTAGATTAGGCTAGCTGCATGATTTCCAATTTGCTTGGCATTTGCTCCAGTGCTGGTTGCATTGTCACCTCTTCCCAATTATGGTCAGTCAGCACTGAACATAGCTCTTATTATCTGACAGCTTGTGCTTTGGGTGAGGTTCTTGTCAATATCTTCAATGTCATCAGATGGCCTTGCTTCACAGTATCCATTTCCGCTTTTGTCATTATGTCTTGTTAAGCATGCAGCATTGCCAAACGTTCTTTGTATGAATGACTATCAGACTGTATTGTAGATTCAAGGAAAGGTGAGTAACTGACCACATTTCTGTGCCTGACCCATGGTACTGAGACCCCCTAGATACCACAGCCATCATATCAGCTAACACTCTCTGAAACTTCTTTAAAGTCAAGTAAAGTTTGTCTCTGAGCCTCCTCTGGGGATAGCATATTTACTAATATATACTAAACAGAGAAAAAACTGTTATCGGGTACTTATAGGCACTGTTGCAGGAGAAGCAAAAATAAACCTGTCATAGACTGAGTTTAGGCAGTGATGATTTATCATCGTTAGCAAGGGTGTCCCTCCCAGGATGGGCTGTGCAGCTGCCACATAAGGAAGTAACAATATACAGGGGTTGGACAATGAAACTGAAACATCCGGTCTTAGACCACAATAATGTATTAGTATGGTGTACAGCCTCCTTTTGTGGCCAATACAGCATCAGTTTGTCTTGGGAATTACAGATACAAGTCCTGCACAGTGGCCGGAGGGATTTTAAGGCATTCCTCTTGAGGAACAGTGACAAGGTCACAACGTGATGCTGTTGGAGGAAAATGTTTCCTGACTCACTCTTACATAACACCCCAAAGTGGCTCAATAATATTCATCTCGGGTGACTGTGCAGGCTATGGTAGATTCAACTTCACTTTCATGTTCATCAAAGCACTCTTTCACCAAACCACTCTATATCTTGTTGTGTGTATTGGGGCATTATCATCCTGATACACCGCACCACATTCAGGTTACAGTGTTTGAACCATTGGGTGAACATGGTCCTCCAGAATGGTTTGGAAGTCCTTGGCAGTGATGTGCCCATCTAGAACAAGTAGTGAGCCTAGAGAATACCATGATATTGCAGTCCAAACCATCACTGATTCACCTCTGGAATACATTCTGGGTACACAACAGTCCGGGTGGTAAGCCTCTTTGGGGCTTCTCCACACCGTAACTCTCCTGGATGTAGGAAAGACAGTGAAGGTGGACTCATCAGAGAACACATGTTTCATAATGTCCAGAGCACAAGAGTTACACTGCTGGCACCATTGAAACCATTGATGTTTGGCATTGGCATACAGTAAGTGACCAAAGGTTTGGCTATAGCAGCCAGACCATCTATATTGACCCTGTGGAGCTCTTGACAAACAGTTTTGGTGGAAACAGGAAAGTCAATGTGCGCATTTAATTCTGCAGTGAGTTGGGCAGCTGTGGTTTTATGTTTTTTGGATACAATCTGGGTTAGTATAGCTGGACATCCCTTTCAGTCAGCTTCCTCTTGCATCCATATGGATGTGGTCCATCCTTCATTTTGGTATGCCGACATTACCGTGGCTCTCGATACACCATTAAGAATTGCTGTTCTGGTCATAGGTGTGTCAGCAAGACACTCACCAACAATTTGTCCTCTTTTGAACTCTCATATGTCTTCCATTATGTTGTGTGCATTGCAATATTTTACGTACAATTCTGCTATTGCTTTGATAATTCAACCTTCACACTCAGCTCTTACTGATAAAATGTGATATCAGTGAAGATTGGCCACCAGGTCACGCATATATAGGTGTGAAACCTCATGCACTATTGACCAGGTGCTTCAGTTTCAGTTTTTAAGTCTTAACTAAAGTAACAAACGTAACAATTGGTACTGCATGCTATCTCGTGTACTGATTGTTACACCCTTTTATTTGGAGCCCTGATTGACACTTTCAATTCTCAAGGTATCTAGGGACACTGGACAGGCACGGTCTAAGAAGAATAACTCCAGTTTTCAGACTGAACAGCACCACCTGCTGTACTGCCTGGAGAGGACCACGGTGAGAGCTCCGCAGAGTGAAACAATTAACTGAACAGTGATCCCAACATGCAGGAATAATTAAAATACAATGGACTGTTCTGGAGAGGCCAGTGATGAGCTCTAAACCTAATTTCCATTAAAAGCCAGTTGTAACCTCTCTTAATGAAATGACATTAACTAATGAGTGACTTTTAGTTGATTTGCAAGGAAAAATGTTAGCATAAAAGAACTGAAAGTGCAAATTACAGGAAGCTGTTTACTAGTACTACTGTTTTGTGAACAGCAAAACTGATCATGAATAATTAAAAATTTCAGAAAGTGTGATGTGAATCAATTTGACCACAACTTCAGACCAAGCACCAATACCGCACGTATTCCAGGGAAAACATTAGTATATCTGCAAAATTTCGTACTAGGCAGTAATCTTTCTCATCTTTGTATCTGAACTCCAGAACCATGAATTTGTGGATGAGCAGACCCATCAGATGTGCTCCACGGTGATGGGGCCCCAGATCTCTTCACGTTCTCCTTCCTCTTCATCACGAAGCTTTTGCCTGAGGAAAAAAAAGAGGTTCAGTCTGCCCAAAGTTACAATGACTGCCAGACTCCAGGGCAACTTTCAGGAATTCAGCCACCTGCAGGAAGGACCTCCAACCAGCCGGTACTGTAACATACACAAATAATCACAGATCACACAAACATACACTTGTATGCATCACTCTAATACTCAATCATACAGTACACATTAACAAACACACGTGATTATGACTCTACATACCCTCACAAAATTAATATTGCAAGCATATGATTCACACACTCTGTAAATTACCTTCATGCACACTTATACACAATGGACCAGTGGACCACTTATACATGGTGTACATACTGTTGTCCCCTTCAGCAAGGTACCATATACCAAGGAATGTTTGACAGTGTCAGAGAACAAAATTAATTTATGCCAAAATGGACAAACTGCACAATCAGATGATATTCGTACGACATGAGGGTCCGAGATGGCATGATGATATTTAAGAGCCAGCGTGTGACTCAGTGGGCCAAGCCTGGTTGCCTGTAATCAGAAGGTTGCCAGTTCAAACCCAGCCTCAGCATGTCTATAGGTCCTTCAGCAAGGCCCTTAACCCCCAGGTCCCTGGGTGCTGCTACAAGTGGCTGCCCTTCGCAGACAGCTTACTCTACAAAAAAAAGCAAGTTGAAGGAGGTGTAAAGACAATTTCCCCACTGGGATCAATAAAGTATCTGCTATTGTGTTATGGACTTTCTGTCAGTCCATAACTTTGTCATTAACATCTGGTATACAATTACATCACATCAGATGCTTTTACTCAAAATAACATACAACTGAGAAGACATTCAAACGTTCCCAGAAGCAACTGGGCCTTTTTTAGAGGCTCAACAATGAAATCACTTAAATGAGCAACCTTCTAATCAGAGGCACAGTACTTTGAAAAAGTCTTAGGAAATCAAAGAAAAATTGTAAGGGTATTCATTTGTGTAGTAAGTGTATACTTGCTCAAAAATAAAATTTAACATATTAAAAAAAGTTATTGATATTTTTTTGGTGGCTAGATGAGCACTACTTTGATTCCTATCTCCTCACAGGCACCTTAGCCATTCCATTTATTTGTTCAATTTCACTACCAGCTCACTTAATTGATTAATAAAATTAGTTTGAAAAAGTGATTGAGCTATGTATTAGCCGTAGGAGGAGTGCTGGTGGTCCCGTCAAAAAATACTTGGGTGTATTGGATGGCTGCTGCAAATACTGGGGTGACTTTAGGAGGGGTTTGAAATGGCTAAGCTGACTCTGACAGACACAATATCATGAATATCATTAGAACATAATTTTCTCAGACTGCATAAGGCTTTTGCACAATACTATATATTTGTGTGGAATATCTACATATACTCACAAACTAGGGTGGAATGGTGACTAAGTCTGTAGTATTCGCCTAACTTTCTGGGTTGGGGGGGTTTAAATTCTACCCCCATGCTGTATGCGTGGAGTTTGCATGTTGTCATGGTTTCCTGCACAGATATGCAATTAGGTGAATGGTCTGTAATGTGCATTGATGTGGGTGGTGTGTGGATCTGTAGATTCGGTCTCTGATCCTGTGATTCGAAGGCAGGATTCAAATCCTGTGGCTAGCAGAGTGATTCTGTCATTGGGCCCTTGAGCAAGGCCCTTAGCCCAAATTGCTCCAGGGACTGGCTGACCCTATTCTCGGACCCTCAGTTGTAAGTCGCTTTGGGTCAAAAGCATCTGCTAATTAAACCAATATAAATTAACCTCTGTTGTATGAGTAAATACAGAGACAGAACTTTATATTTAAAAGTTTGTAGTGTTTACTCTTTCCTTTCTGTCTTTCCATTCTCTTAGGCGCTCAAGACTGAATGCAGTTGTAGATGAGTCAGGGCCCCTAAATAGAGAACAGCACCACCTGCAGGATCCCTTCATCAGCTCACCCAGGGTCTCGCAAGACAGTACTTTTACAGTGTCTGCTGTATAGCCTGCTGTCAACTTACAAGACCTTGTTGGACAGTGAAAAAGGAGATACTTTTGAAAAAATAACAATGGCTTGAAGACATTATTGCCAACAAAATAAACACAGATATGAGAGCTTCCAGTTACAGAGCTTGACGAAGAAACCTAAAGGACAAACAATTTACTTTAGAACTAGATGCTGTTGACCCCCCCTTATCTCATCTGTACTCCTGTCACACCCCCCCAACCTCTACTATCTCTAGCCCTACCATGCAAGGCTTGGGCAGTATCTAATTTTTCATATAGTCATACTGTACATACATTATACTTTTATTCATAAGGCATTTTGATGCTATTTTCAAAAGCAATACGATTACAGATTTTTTAAATCTTAGTAAGGGAGGTCCCCATGATAAAGATCACCAAACAAAAATACACTGGTGTACTGAAAATATTACCGTAATATGGTCTAAGCCTACCCCACACACTCTCCCACCTTTTTAAAGCCCACATTTGTGTGACTTGTCTCAATGTTTTTAGGTTCACCAGATGTACACTTATAGCGGTTCTTCCATGTGCCAACATTGACTCCATGATAAATTTTGCCAAACAGCTAATAGATTTCTACTGGTCATATTTGACAAATACTTTTTGAGTTATCATGCTGAGAAGATTAAGTGTCTGCAGATGTGCATCTCATTGATACCACTATTTGGCGCTGCTTCAATTTTGGGGCCATTTGTCCCAAAATTTGAACACTTCCAGATATTCACCCACACAATGCGTTTGCAGAGATTGAAAAAGATCTATGAGATACTTCTATTTGTGTACGTTATGTTCACAAGAAAATCTGTCTTCTACAGCCATTTCCTTCCTTGGTTACCTAGCACTGGTGCTTCCATTTTGAAGCAATTTGTCTCAAAATGAAATCAGCTGTAGATCTTCATCCATTTAATGTTTTTTTGAAGCAGTAATGAGAGTCATCAAATACTTATTGACATCACATTCATATGATGAAATGTCTGCAATCACCCTTCCCTTTGCTGCCACCAAGTGGCATTGCTTCAGCTTTGAGGTGATTTGTTTCAAAATTTTATCAGATCTAGTTCTTCACCCCTACTAATTTCAAATATTTTTGAGTTATCATGCTATCAAAATCAAGTGTCAAAACTGCCCTTTCTTTAATATTACTATGCAGCTTCTTCTCTTTAGGGTAATTTCCAGATTGTTGCCGATACAAGAAGAACATTAGAACATAAGATATTTACAAACGAGAGGAGGCCATTCGGCCCATCAAGCTCGTTTGGGGAGAACTTAACTAATAGCTCAGAGTTGTTAAAATCTTATCTAGCTCTGATTTAAAGGAACCCAAGGTTTTAGCTTGCACTACACTTGCAGGAAAACTATTCCATACTCTAACTACACGCTGTGTAAAGAAGTGCTTCCTCAAATTCATTTAAAAATGTTCCCCTTCTAATTTCCACTTATGGCCACGAGTTCTAGTATTTAAACTAAAATTGAAATAGCCATTTGGCTGAACAGCATCCTGACCTGTTATAATCTTATATACCTGGATCATGTCCCCTTTTGCTCTAGGCTTGTCTCCTTTGCTCGAGGCTAAACAGATTCAGCTCAACTAACCTCTCTTCATAAGACAATGCTTCTGCGCAGTTTGAAAAAGATCCATCAAATACTTCATGAGTTATCTTGGTAATGGAATCAAGTGTCTGGAACTTCTATTTTTTGGTATTACTATGTGGCACTGCTTGACTTTTCATGTGATCTTTCAATATATACTTAGAATTTACAATGAAATATAGCATTCTGACAGATTATACCAGAACTATTCAAATCATTGTCCTTAACGGCCCAGTCACTGCTGATTTTCCAGCTTTCCTTGAACCTGGTGTGAAGCCTCTGTGACCAATCAGAATCACTAATTATCAAACTAAGTACCTGAGTGAACTGAGAACAAGGCCTGGATTTGGATTTGAGGGCCAGATATGAAGAGCCCTGGATTATACTGTTCAGAGTGGTGGGGGATGGTTCCTAGAATATATTTGAGGCAACACATGACATAAGGCTGGGAGATACCCTATAGTGGATGCCATTATTATGAATAACACTTTGGCACAGAGACAGAGCAAATAATAAAATATGTAAAATATAATCACCATGGCAGCAGCCCCAATAAACAAGCTCTCCTTCCAGAAGTCCAAATCTCAACCCATACAATGTGTCTGCAAAGTTTGGAAAAGATCCAACAAATAATTTTTGAGTTATCATGATGACAATCAAGTGTCTAAGGCTGCCCTTCTCTTTGATATCACAATGTGGCACTACATTAATTCAGTTGGAATTAAGTCTTTTTGAGTTATCATGCTATAGGCATGTGTCTGAGACTGCCCAATTTTTGCTATCACTACGCAGTACTGTTTTTTGAGGCAATCCAATTTGTCACCCATACAATGTGTCTGTAAAGTTTGAGAAAGATCTGTAAATTACTTTTAGAGTTATTTTTTTCACAAGACCAAGTGCCTTCTGCAGCTACTCTTTCCTTCTTGCTACTCCATTTTTGGGAAAATGTGTCTCAAATTGAAATTAGCTATAGATCTTTGTCCTGTGAAGCAGTAATAAGATTCACCAAATACTTTTTGACTTTTTGATCACATTCTCAAATGTCATCTGCTTTCAGCCAACCCTTTGCTTTTGCTTCAGTTTTGGGGCAAATTGTGTCACAATTTTATCAGTTCCAGTTCTTCAGGCATACAGCGTACCATGTTCAGCAGTGAATCTCGGATCTGCATTATCATGGATGACCGTTGTGTTTGTGTATGGTGGCGCCGAGAGGAGAGAACCAATCCTGCCAGTGTTATGGAAAGAGACACTGGTGTTACTCCTGGCATCATGGAGTGAGGAGCTATAGAGTATGACCTTAGGTCATCTCCGGTAGTGATTCAGGGGACCCTGACGGCACAGCGCTACATCAGTGACATCCTGTGTCCGCATGTCTTACCCCACCTAAGACAGCACCCTGGTACAGTCTTTCAACAAGACAATGTCCGTCGACTCACAGCACATGTGTCTATGGACTGCCTGTGTCATGTTGAGGTCCTTCTATGGCCAGCCAGGTCCCCTGATCTTTCCCTAATCAAACGTGTGGAATCAGCTTGGACGTCAACTCAGACCCAATGCCAATCTGCAGGATCTCGAGGGCCATTTACAACAGCTGTGGGCCGACTTGCCACAGGATATGATACAATGGTTGTATGACTCCCTTCCGCAGCATATCGCCACATGTATCCAGGCCTGGGTGGGTGACACACCCTACTGACATGGGACCAGCAGTATGCCCATACTGCCAACTCTGTTGTCCGTTTGATCTGATATTATAATCATTGCGATACAGTCACATGACCTTTCACCACATGCAGATTCATTTAATTTCCACCACTCTGTCTGGGTGCTTAACTTTTTTGTCACTGAATGTACTTTTAGTTATTGCTTTAACAAATCATGTGTTTAAAACTGCCCTTTTTGCCATCAATATGAGGCACTGCTTCAATCGAGGGGTGATCTGCCTCAAGATGTAATAATTTCCAGTTTCTTACCCATATAATGCCTCTGCAAAGTTTGAAAAAGATCTGTTAAATGCTTTTTGAGTTATCTTCTTAACGCGAAAATGCCTGTGGTAGTGGACCGACCCAAAATCATATGTATTCGCCATCCCGGGAATACAATAACATACATTATTAACAACAACATGAAGAAATATAGAGTATTAAAAACTTAAATAAAAATATAAATCTAATGATAAAAAACATTGAAATCATGACGTTGCCCCTTCATCTGGTTCACTTGGCAGTGCGCTGTGGAGCTGTCATGGTATGTGAGACAACAGACTCCAAGGTAGGTATTCGACAAACAAAAAGGGAATTTTATTAAACCAGCACTGAACAGAACTAAACAGGGGCTGGAAAACAAACAGAACCGCAAGGAGTCAAAAAAGGGAGGACTGGTTGTCACACTCCGGCGTGCAGGCGAGCGGGGAAGCAGGTAAGCGGAGCCGTTCTCACGGGTAAACAGGGGTTTTAATCAGCAAGACACACACACGCAGGAACATCCACGGATATTACAGTGACGGATCTGGGGAAACTAACTGAGACACGGACTAAATACAAAAGACTAGCCAGACATAACAGGACACAGGTGATCACAATCGGGGATGCACACGAGGTAATGAGGGGGGCGTGGCACACATCGGGATCGTACGGAGCTGGGCATGACACTGGTACAGGGAAGGGCATGGGCCACAGGAAGGTTGATGTCAATGTCCAGGCTGGGGGCAATGAGACAAACCGGTACTTAAACACAAAGACTAATGAGGGGCAACAAGAGCATTTTCTGTGGGTTTTACTACTATAGTGTTGTCAGTATGTTTTTCTTTTATATCACTTAAATTTCTTTCCCTAACAGGTGCTAGAATATTTTGTATCTCGTTTGTTTCAAATGGAATAAGTGTTGAACCTGATTGCTAGTGCTCGTCGGATTTTCTATGCATTGTGCGCTGACCATGTACTCTCTGCTTGGCTGCATAAGGCGCACTGATGGGGGCAGAAAACTTAAAAAATCCTTCTTCTGTTTCACTTCTGTCAGAGAATTGAGTTCATTGAATATTTTTCTGTGGTGCGTCCTCCCTATCACAAATATTCGTCCATAGAAGCTGATAATGACAGCCAGACAACCAAACCAAAGTGGAAACAAAATATAGATTCCAAAACTGTTGTAGGAAGATATGCGTTCTAAATACACCCCTCTGCATTGCATAAATGCTGGGGCATCATCGACCGCCATTGTCGACACAAATGATAAAGGTATTGACATCATTCAGTGGCCTGTACCATGAAGCGGGGTTACTGGCATATCGGGGTAACTTGTCGGATTTAAGGTACCACAGTTTAAATGGATTTCATATTTGTTCACTTACATTTTGCCCAGACCACCTTAAATCCGACAAGTTACCCCGATAAGCCAGTAACCCTGCTTCGAAGTACAGGCCACAGCTCAATGCGATACAAAACACGATCCGTTTTCTGCGCTGTCTGGTTTTGAAGGGGTTCGTGATCGCTTGGTACCCCTCGACATTGATGCCTGCTAAAATTACCAGCTGCACGCAGCAGCTGAAGGAGAAACACACTATTTGTGCGTAACAGAGCAGGATTCCCAGGTCGTCATCTGCATGAAACTGCAGTGAAATTCTAAGGAGTAATGGGCAGTCGATGATGCTCCTGAAGAGATCAATTATTGCGAGGTTGGCGAGGAGCGCATTGTTGGATGTCTGCAGGGACTTCTGACGATACAATGCCCAGATAACAAAGCCATTTGCACAAATGCCAGCGAAAAAAGTGATGAACAAAGCCACAGAACTAACTGTGACCTCCGCTGTGTACCGCAATAACCAGATGGTATCGAAAAACAGACACACAGGACAGATTAGGGCTTGATCTTAAAAGTATTTATTTTTATTTTATTCCCAAGCACAACAAAAGGGTTAAATAACTCCAAATGCCCCAGGTAGTGGGTTCAATGATGACCTATGGCTTTCAGAAGGTGGTCCAAACCCTTGGCCAATACCCCTGTTACAGCCTAAGATTGTGGTTATGATGGCCCCACTTATGTGTCAAATTATTTGTCATTTCTGAATATGGAGCAAGGGTAGACATTAACTTTTTCACAGGTGTCATTGATGTAATATGAATGTCTTCAGTTGATGAGTTGGAGCTTGGTGTCTCTCATTGCAGATAAACCCCCAACTACTGCCAGCTTGACATGTGATTTGGCTCCCCACTCTCGGGCTATTTTGAATCTTCCAGGAGGATCATGCCACTTGGGAATCTGCAATTACCATTATAGTCATGTCTGGGCATCCGTCCCCATTGATAATTTATTCACAACTAATTTTAATTGGAGATAAATCATAAAAATCAGAAAATGCAAACACAAGTTTAAAAGCCAGATTTCACTCGTGTCTGTTTTTAATCATTTTTTAAATATATTTTTCTATTGTATTCCTGTGCTATTGTATTTGGTACAGTAAGTAGGTATTTCATTCACTAAACTTCTTTACCGCTTAACTTATACAGGGTCATGGGTAGTGTTCATTTCATTGATGAAAACAAAGATTTTTTTATTGACGAAAATGAGACGATAAGAAATAATTTATGTTTGTAAAAACTGTGTTGAAATGCATTGGCACTTTTGTCAATTAATATAAATGTGACGAAAACGTCAGGAAGAAACCAATTGAAATCTTTATCTGTAAAGGCTGCATTTCAAACTTCGTGCCATGCCATAATAATGGCTTTACATATGTTTCCCTCAAGAATGTAGAGCGGGTAGTGGTACATCTGTGTGTGCGCGTGTAGACAGAAAATTGCGTGAAATTTTCGAAAAAATGTGAAAAAGACGTATTAGTTAGTTATTCATCTCCACTTCAGTCTGAGCATAGTACCTTCTCTGTACAGTGCCCTCAGTAACATTTGGGACAAAGACACATTTTTCCCGGATTTACCCTTCTGTTCCACAGTTTCAAATAGAACAATTCAGACTTGATTAAAGTGCACATTCTTGGAACATTTCGCATTCTTTGCGCTACATGCCTCCAGAGGGTCTAACTTATCTGTCAGAGATCCATATGATCCTTCCTTGCAATGCTTTGTAACATATTCGATGGCCCACTCCATCATTGTAGGTTCTGAGTATGAATTTAAACTTTCACAGTATAAACTTATTTGTTTATACTGGTGGTTTGCCTCAAGAACACAGGGTTAAAATGTTCGGAACCCTACTGGTGCTTTCTTACCAAAGCCCAGGTCCTCTACAAACACACCTCCTGTTTACCCTCCTGTACTGATAATCAGGTCAAACCAGGTGAAGTCTTGAATTACTCCTTATTTCCTATATTATTTTACTGTTCGTTTGCAGATGTCTGATATCACGAACCAGTTATACTCACAAGTGTGATTCTTTCTGGGTCCTTCAATTCGGAGAAGAAGGTGGTACATCTGGAATTAAGTTTTCTGGTCAGTCTTCTCTCTTACAGTAGGTGAAGAAATCTTCTCTCTTCTTGAGGAAAATGTTAGCCAAAAAAAGTTTCTGCAAAACAATGGTTTATTGAACAGTAAAAATAATATAATGTAATACAGTGTATAAATACACCGGGTATTGAAAGGCAATTCAAATACAAATTAAGCACAGTTCTTCACTCCCCTTCACTTTTGGACCCCAAAAGTCCCTCCCCAACTGTGTGTAAGTGTTGTGAGTGAAGGGTGACCTTCTGGAATGTGAGGAGCCTGAGGCAGGGATGAGACAGGACAGGATGGAGACAAGAGGTAACTCAGTCTGGCCACTGGCCTTCTCTGGCCACTGGCAATTCAGTTACTTCCTTATCACCCTAGTGGTGCCGACTGGAACCCCATTCTCTCCCTGACTTTCCCCAAGATCATAATTTGATAACCCTGTCTGTATTCAAATGATCAACCTAGAACATACAGTAGGGGCATCTTTACCACTTTTCTTTACAGGTGCGTGAGTGTGACCTGCGATTGGTTAGGCCCCATCCGGTTTTGGTCCCTACCTTGCATCCGCAGCCCATGGGATAGGCTCCGGACCACCCACAACCCTGGATATGATAAGCGGTTTCAGAAATGTTCAGATTTTCTGATTTAACCCCTGCTTCCAAGTCTACATACAGTATGACCACAAAAGACTAATAACATTCAGTTAAAAACATTTATTGACTTTAACATTTCCGAGTGATTCATCATTCCGTACTCAGAATTTGGGAAAAGCTGGTGTGTGGGACGAGCACAGATTAGATGGGGGGAGAAGGTGACGGGGCTGTCCAGGGCTGTCGTTTGCGACAGCACCGACTTATAATTTATTATGAGCAGGACCGCGAAGGTAACTCGTACTAAGGTAATCACACCGTATTTATTACGGTAAAGGTGTTTACCCAGGGATGTGCAGTCTTCATACCGCAAAAACTTGTATGTTTGTAGTGCACTATTATTATATAAAGTGATATACAGTATTTGTTACAGCAGATTCGTATTTCAGCATCGAAATGGTATTCGTCCAATGGAACACAGCAACGACTAATTGATTGTGTTAAGTAGGACATGGAAGATTCCGATTGGAATTTTGGAAGTGATTGGTTATTTCGCGTGGTGTGTCGCAATTGGCTTTGCCGCCTTTCCTCGGGTCCCAGGAACAGAGGAACATTCTGGGAGGAAGCGGGGCTGACTGGGGTCTGGAAGTTAGTATTGCAGTGAAGGCGATAATGAGCGTCTGTCTTTGTTTTTAATAAAGTAAAAGAAGTAGAATAATAAGTATGAAACGACTGTGGATTATTGGTTTTGTTTGTGCTCTTCTTGCATTTGGTAAGCATAGCCGTGATTTGGCTTCCTGGCAGCGCTTACAGCAATTTTACAGATTGCCAGTTTATTGGCACACTTGCTTTCGGAGTTTTTTTTTTGTTTGGTTTACAGATAAGACGGTAGTTAATGTCAGGCAGAATGATAATCTGTTGATCGCTTTAAACCGAGCAGCGACCTGCATGTTGTTATTATGACACTGTGTCGCGTGTTTCCAGAACTTTCCCTCGGGTTGTGTTAAGTTGCTGTTCGAGAGACTGACGTAAACCAACTTAAAAACAAGTCTCCTAAAAATATTCTTCAAACAAGCGTTACTCGGTATGATTTCATTCCAGGCGTTTTTTCTCCCGTACGTTTCCTTGCCCACGGATCCTTTAAATGCGGTGTAATCAGCGTGGGACGCCAGAATGCTCTCCCGATCATGCACGCTTCTCCTGCGCATTTTAGGCAGGACATGTCACATTGTACAAAACGATGATCTGATTGGCTTTGTACCACGTAAACTGGTGTTGTATAATCGCCAGCCTTTTCAGCGTAGTGATTTGCTTTTAAGGGTAAACATTCCTTTTTGGAACTTGTTGACCTGTTGGTGCTAATGTAACTCAATCAGAATAGTTTCTTGCAAAGTACGTTCACACATGCAAGGAATAACACCAGAGACCTGATGGAGGTGGGCTTTGGGGGTCCGCGCTTTGTAGCATGCTTCTGTTTTTTCTTGTTTTATTTTACCATTTAATGTCTTTTTTGAGTTGATTATTGTGATGTATCATGTTTCAATTTTTATCAGTAATCTTTTGTTTATTATACATAACTGTTGGCACCATGCCAAAACAAAATCCTTGTGAGGATCGATGATAAATTTAATTCTGGAAAGTCCTGTGGATTGGTTTGATTGGTAATAAGGTTGCACGTAACATTTCTCCCCCTGCAAAATCTTATAACTGATGTTTTAGGCCTGCTTTGGTTTCTTTGTCTTTTTCAAGCAGTATCAGTTAAAGCAGACAATATCTACACTGATGGGTCAGTGGAAGAGGAGCTGGGGAAAAGCCGGGATGGCTCCAGAACTGATGATGAGGTGGTTCAGAGGTCAGTGTTGTCATGGGGACACGTGTCTCTGCGAATTGGCCTGATTGATGAAAGAACTTCCTCATTCCTCTGCTTAGCTGTTTGTCACTCCCTGAATGGTCCAGTTATTGATCCAATAGTAGCTTCCATGGGGATCTATGGTTTGTGGGTGCGATGTCAAGCACTTTCTGAAGTCTCATGTGAGAGCGGTGACTTGGAGGGGACATAAGTGGAGTGAGAGGGGAGAGAGGATGGAATGGGTGGACCTGACTACGCTTTACTACACAGGGAGGAAGAGGCTATCCAGCTAGATGGCCTGAATGCATCGCAGATAAAGGAAATTCGGGAGAAATCAGAAAAACATGCCTTCCAGGCCGAGGTGAACAGGATGATGAAGTTGATAATCAACTCTCTGTACAAGAATAAGGAGGTGGGTAGTGAATTCCTCCTAATCTATAGGGAAGTTCCTAGTCTTCCTTCATACAGAGCATTAGTATTTAGTGTGACAAATTAAAATTAAGGGACAGAGTATTGTACTCGCTATCACTGGTTATGTAGCTCAGTATACAGTATACTGTAAATTTTAAATCTTGGGGTAAATGTGGATTGCTGGTTGCAGAAGGGATATAAGTGGCAGCTGAACATTTTGCTGATGGTGCATGTCCATTGAATCATATATGTTTTATGGTGCAACTGTAGTTAATTTTAATTCTGTGTTAAGATTTTCCTTAGAGAGCTTATCTCCAATGCTTCTGATGCCCTGGACAAGATTCGCTTGCTTTCCCTGACTGATGAGAACGCTCTCGCTGGAAATGAGGAGTTGACCATTAAAATAAAAGTAGGTCAACCTTGAATTTTTATCTTTTAATGGCCACATATAAGTAGCATTTTTACAAGTACAGACTTGAAATGCTATGGGCTTTTTAATTTTTTCATACTGGCCTCTCTTAATAGGGAAGAAGAACATGGGTGCTTGTTGGAGTTGTGCCTTACTCAAATTTTCATATCTATAGGCTGACAAAGAGAAGAATGTATTGCATATTACAGATACTGGAATTGGAATGACCAAAGAGGACCTGGTGAAGAACCTGGGCACCATTGCAAAGTCTGGCACCAGCGAGTTTCTCAACAAGTTAACAGAGATGCAGTTGGAAGACCAGTCCACCTCTGAGTTAATTGGACAGTTTGGTGTTGGTTTCTACTCTGCCTTCCTTGTGGCCGACAGCGTCATTGTTACCTCAAAGCACTACAATGATACACAGCACATTTGGGAGTCTGACTCGAATGAGTTCTCGGTGGTCACGGACCCTCGTGGGAATACCCTAGGCAGGGGCACCACCATCACGTGAGTTTTTCCTTCCTGGTATTGCGGGTTGAAATTCAGTATTAGTTTTATCATTTGCAAAACACTTGGAGGGGGGAGGCAAAGAAGTGAACCAAATAACGCTCTTAAACTATATTCCATTTTAAGTCTTATCTGTTAAATGCCTTTAATCCAGATTTTCCCATGCATTGTTACTCTTTTTTTTTTTTTTTCTTTCGCCTTTCTTGTTAAACTCTTGGCCATAGGGAATTATTTATTAAATACACTCTTTTTAATAGGTTGGTCATGAAGGAAGAGACATCTGATTACCTGGAGCTAGAGACTATTAAAAACTTGGTGAAGAAATACTCCCAGTTCATCAATTTTCCCATCTACGTGTGGAATAGCAAGGTAAATGAAAGATGACTTTTAACAGGTGAACTTGCGAAAGATATTAATTCATAATTTATTATGCTTTCATAGCCAAATTGCTTAAGGTTTGTTCAAAATTTCAGACTGAAACAGTTGAGGAGCCTTTTGAAGACGATGATGTAGAGGAGAGCAAAAAAGATGCTGGTGAAGATGAAGCTGAAGTAGAAGAGGAAGATGAGGACAAACCAAAGACCAAAAAGGTTTGTTGTTCAAAGTTGTACCTGGCATGCATTAGTTCTGAGCTCCACTGAATACTGTACTGTGAAGTGAGAATTAAAGTATTTATGGGTACCTTTTAGGTAGAGAAGACTGTATGGGATTGGGAGCTGATGAATGATATTAAGCCAGTCTGGCAGAGACCTGCCAAGGAGGTAGAGGAGGATGAATATAAAGCCTTCTACAAGTCCTTCTCGAGGGTATGTCTGTGTGTGACCTGCTTCTCCCTCACGGATCAACACATGCATGCTTACTCATTAATCTACCTGGCTGCAATTTCTTCAAAAGGATTCTGATGAGCCAATGTCCCACATCCACTTCACTGCTGAGGGAGAGGTGACCTTCAAATCCATCCTCTTTGTGCCTTCTGTGGCTCCTCGTGGACTTTTTGATGAGTACGGGTCCAAAAAAAGTAATTTTATCAAGGTACAGTAGTATACACATCTGCGCAACTCTTTGAGTAGGGTTTTTTTTTAAGGAACCCAGAACTACTTGGATGATACCCGTAGATAAATTGAACTACCTGCTTTCATTGTAAGTGATCCATAGATGGTGACTATGATGTGAGTAACGGCGTGGAAATGTTTATTTTAAATTATTATTTTAGCCTGTTGATGTATTTGGCTTTAATTGTTTTAATTGTTCATGGATCATTAATGGAACTGCTAAGGTATTGAAAAGATACTTTATTAATCCTGTAGCAAATTGCGGATATCCAGCTATATGGACACAGAAAGAATATGCCAATACTTTTCAGTTATATTCAGTGAAATCCAGGGCAGCTTTACATTAATGGCCTGACCACCTAAATCTCTTCATTTGCAGCTGTTTGTTCGAAGAGTGTTCATCACTGATGACTTTCATGATATGATGCCCAAATACCTGAACTTTATCAAAGGAGTGGTAAGTAACTGGAAACTACTTAACATGGCAGGTTAATTCTAATAAATAGCTACTTAGCAGGTTTATTGTCCCATCAGGTTGATTCTGATGACCTACCTCTCAATGTGTCCAGAGAGACGCTACAGCAACACAAACTATTGAAGGTAAGGTCCTGCATTTCCTGTTGACAGACTACATGGTTGTGGTTAACCTTTGAAACTTCAGCTCAACTCTAAATCCCTCTCCAGGTCATCCGCAAGAAGCTGGTGCGCAAGACCCTGGATATGATGAAGAAGATCACAGATGAGCAATATGAGAAGTTCTGGAAAGAATTTGGCACCAACATTAAACTGGGTGTCATTGAGGACCACTCCAACAGGACTCGTCTAGCAAAGCTGCTTCGCTTCCAGACATCCCACAATGACACTGTCCTTTCTGGCCTGGAGCAGTATGTGGAGAGAATGAAGGAGAAGCAGGACAAGATCTACTTAATGGCTGCGACCAGCAGGAAAGAGGTAAAACCTACTCTTGGCTGTACCTCATTTCATTTTAAAGGTACTGCTGACCAAACCTACAGGCTCTGTTTTTACTCGTATGTAGTAGAGGTGTCACGATTACTCAAACTCGATTATTAAAAAGAGGAGGGACTGAGTGTGCGCTGATTCCAGCGCATTGCCACACCCACCTCAGGGATGAGAACCCGAATGCAGCCGTGCGGCGGGTGATACTTCAGCACCACAATAGTTTAATGGAACAGTGTGAGTTTTTTTCCGGGTGACTGGTGTGCCAATCCTGCCACCAACCTCCAAATTTTCCCTGTAAGTTGGAGGACCTGCTTGCAGGGCTGAATGTAGATTAACGTCATGCCCAGGATGAGGCAATTGCAGGTTAAGGGCCTTGCTCAAGGGCCCAATGAAGTAGGATCACTCCTGGCATTCTCTGGCAGAAGGTAGACGGTGCATTTTTGATGAGGGTCCAAATAAAGAGCAAAAGCATCATTTGTGTGGAAGCACTTCACATTAAAAGTGAATGAGAATGTAGTCGTCTGTCAGTATTGCAAAGCAGAACATGAATATCACCACAGCACAACTGCAATGCAAATACATCTTAAAAGAAGACATTCAGGTTTGACGGACTCGCCCAATAATGCAAGATTAGCCATAGATATGTCCAATTTAGCCTCAGAGTAGCCTAGCATGTCTTTGTCATCACTTAGACTTCATTTATTTTGTTTATTGTGATTCCTATATGTCTAAATAATCGCTGCAAAAACTACAAGTGACCTGTATCTGACTATAATTTGAACGCATCGGTTCTCATGCACACATTGATACATTTTTACATAGGTCAACTGTGTCACCAACATCAAAAAACGTCATATCTGTGGGACGCCTCATGGCATTAAAAATGGAGGCGTTAGTAGCTCACGCATGAATCCCACTTTGGGTGCAGGCTGATGATGTCAGCGCATGCGTAAAAGCAAAAAGCCACATGAATTCTGATCTGAGCGTTCACATTCAGGTCGCATGGCCACCAATCAGATACGTATGAGATTTAGTACCACATCTGAAAGTGACACAAATCTGATTTGAAAAGATCAGATTTGTGTGTCCACACAGCCCTGAAAAGATCAGATCTGTGTCACATTAAGGCAAAAAATCCGATTTGGGTCACTTCAGCATGGCAGTGTGAACGTAGCCTATGAATCAGTCAAAAAGGACAAAAATGATATGGTTGTGCAAAAGCAGCAGTGACAAACTTTAGACTGATTTTTTTAAAAGGCATACTAGGTCAGGGGTCTCCAACTCCGGTCCTGGAGAGCTACTATCCAGTAGGTTTTCTATCCTACTTGGCTTCTGATGAGCCACACTAGTTCTCAGGTAAATACCAGGAGCAGCTGTGGCTCATCAGAAGCCAAGTGGGACAGAAAACCTACTGGATAGTAGCTCTCCAGGACCGGAGTTGGAGACCCCTGTACTAGGTAATGCTGAAACGGAACCATCGTTAAAATTGCGAAGCTTGCCAAGTTTGGTTTCCTGTGACTAAGTAAATGTTATAACGCAATTTATTGGTGGTGTGAACTCAATGTGCAACCTGACTGCATGTGCATGAAATGCCATGTTGATATTAACATTGCACATCATACAAGCCTAGAGAGAGAGTGGCAGACTGGGTAGCACTGTTGCCACACCCGGAGTTTGCATGTTCACCCTGAGTGCCTTTTTGACAGATCTGATGATTTCCTTATACTGTCCAAAAACATGAAACTGAAGTGAATTGGAGGACCTAAATTGAACATATGTGTGACTAAGTGTGAACCCTGCAACTTATGGTTGGTTCCTGCCTTGCCCAATTGCAATATAATATAATTTAATATAATATAATTGTTTCTGTGTGGAGTTCGCACGCTCTCCCCATGGTCACGTGGGTATTCGCTAGGGGCTCCGGTTTCCTTCCCCGGTCCAAAAGCGTGCGGGATAGGTTGATCTGTGAGTCTAAATTGGCCCTGTGAGTGTGTTGGTGACTGCCCAGGGTTGGTTCCTGCCCGCGACCCCAGTTGGGATTAATCGGTTTTGGAAAATGGAGGAATGGATATAAATGATTACTCGAAGAATTGTCAGATTGATAGATTACTCAATTATTAATATAATCGATAGTGATGGCGCTAGTATGTAATGTGGCTGTTGTGCATCTGCAACTTGCAGGCGGAATCTTCTCCATTTGTGGAGAGGCTACTGAAGAAGGGCTATGAAGTGATCTACCTGATAGAGCCTGTGGATGAGTACTGTATTCAAGCCCTGCCTGAATTTGATGGCAAACGTTTCCAGAACGTTGCCAAGGAGGGTGTCAACTTTGATGAGACTGACCAGGCCAAGGAGAAGAGGGAGGCCCTTGAAAAGGAATTTGAACCTCTCACAACCTGGATGAAGGACAAGGCCTTGAAAGACAAGGTAGTAGGCTTTAAGAGTGACATGCTTATTAGCAGGCCACCTCATTTCCAGAATTTGAGCAAAGTGCCTGTTTTACGTATATTTAATCTGATCAGACCCATACCCGCTACAGATCGAGAAGGCTGTTCTTTCTCAGAGGCTGACCAAATCTCCCTGCGCACTAGTTGCCAGCCAATATGGCTGGTCTGGAAACATGGAGCGGATAATGAAAGCACAGGCCTATCAAACGGGAAGAGACATTTCCACAAAGTGAGTCTTTGCTTGGCCTTGTCTGTTTCTTACTGTATAATAGAGATACAGTGGTACCTCAGAACTTGAATTTAATCCGTTCAGAACTCCGGATCGAATGCTGAAAAGTTTGAGTTGTGATCGAATTTTCCCCATAAGAAATAATGGAAAACCAATTAATTGGTTTCTGACGCCAAAACATTACACCTAGATATGTTTTTTTAGCATTTAAACACAAAATGAACCGGATAAAACAAGAGCATATTCTGTACTAAACACATCTAAGCACATTTATCAAAACAGTAATTTGTAAAGTAAGAAAATAAATGTATCCAAACAACGTGTCCTGCCCCGATCGTCCACGCCTTCCGTGAGCCACGCCCCCTCGTTAACCCCGTGTGGAATCCCCTTGTGATCAGCTGTTTCTGGTTGTTGTCATTAGTCCTCTGTATTTCGTCCGCGTTTCAGTTTGTTTCCCCAGTCCGGTCATTGTATTGTCCGTCTGCGTTTTGCCTGCCTTACCTGTAATTAAACCCCGTATTCCCCGATACCCTGACGTCTGCGCCTTTGTCTCCGTTCCGTCCCCACTGGGCACAACAATATTATTATAATTAAACGTATCAATGGTTTATTAATATCAAAATAATTAAGAAATCTTTATTTTTAAATGTATTTTATTATATAATAATTACTGTTACTGTCTATCATTGTCTAAATGTGTTTTTACTGTCTAAATATATGTATTCAGTTAGTGTAAACATGCACGGTGCTATCATAGCTAATGCGAGGCTGAGACTGAAGCTTTACCCTTTGTTTCCGCTGAGAGACATGCCGCGTGACTCATTTCCCCGCGCGTACAAGTTATCTTAGGTCGGCGTTCACGGCAGGGCTGGACTGGGACCAAAAAATGGCCCTGTCATGGTGGCCCACTATGATTATTTATACGATATGCGAGAGCACATGACATACAAGAGGATATATGTGCACGTTGCGTGATTTAAAAAATTAAAATAAAGCGCAGCGGCCTACAAGGAAGAGAGTAACCATGTTAAAAAAAATTATATGCTCTTTCACTACTCAGGGATTCATCTTGGGGGAGATGGCCACAGTGTCACAATTCCCACCTTGAAGTGAAAGAGGATGTCAAAAAAACACAGAGAGAGTGAGAGAGGCAGGAATGTTAATTTCACTAGTGTTATTTCTCTGGTTACCTATCAATGATAAATCATCCATTTCAGCAAAGCAAAGTTTTACTAATATTACATGATAACTGTAAGCTGTAACACCTGCAAACTGTAACTTTATGACAAGCTAAAATACCACTAAGTTGGACACCAAATCTACTCATAGCATTATTTAAAGGCAATTAAGTCAATTCTTAATTGCCTTGCTCTATAAAGGCAATTCTCTCTCTCTCATACACACACAGTTTGTGCACAAAACTGTAGTTTTGTACACAAATGACACATAACTCTACAGGCTAATATTATTATGCATGTTTTAAGTCTGACTGAATAAAATAAGTCTTGTAATAGTTTCCTATGTTGAGCATTTGCACACTTTTGGCCCAGATACTATTTAGTGAAGATGTGTCTCCAATCATTTTTTATCATTTTAAAATTGTATTGTAGCACCAGCATGTCCCAGCATGCCCCGCGCGCATGTTGCAAATAGCCCTTGTATTGTTGTTGTAATTGTTAATGGTTATATTCCTTATTGTCGCGCATGTGTTTGCCCATGTCTTGGTCCGCCCATCGTCACAGTATTAATTCTAACACTTGTAACATTTTTCTTCTTTTACGTTTTCTGTTTTAATCCATTATTATTACACACATCCCAAAACATTGTCATTGTTAACTTTGTGTGCAAACTTACGTGTAGGCAACCCCCCCCGCTCACTTGCTCTCTCTCTCTCACATACGCACACACACACACACACACTCCAGCCCTTTGCTCTCCCTACATGAAACGTCCCTCTTTAACATTTCGGCTAATTTTTACCGGGCTGGACAGAAGCTAATCGAATCTCTTCCTCAATCTTTCCCTAGGCCACGTCTCTCTCCTCATCCTCCTCCTCCGACTCATTTGTCGATAGCCACTCCTCTCCAGCTCCGGTCAGCTCAAATGGCAAAATTTGATAACCTTGGTTAAAAAGGGGACGGAGGGGCGGGTCGAGGAGGGCTGAGAGATTTCACTGGATTAGCCCAATGTCCTTCAAGAAAATCAACCAATGGGACGTCGCGGTCGATAAAAAATATTTATAATATACACTGCTCAAAAAAATTAAAGGAACACTTCAAAAACACATCAGATCTCAATGGGGGGAAAAATCATACTGGAAATCTATGCTGATATGGACTGAGTAATGTGTTAGGAATGAAAGGATGCCACATTGTTTGATGGAAATGAAAATTATCAACCTACAGAGGACTGAATTTAAAGACACCCCAAAAATCAAAGTGAAAAAATTATGCAGCAGGCTAGTCCATTTTNTTTAATGGCAGCACGCAACGAAACAACGTCACAACGTCAATGACCGGACTAGGGAAACAAACGGAAACGCGGACTAAATACAATGAACTAATGACAACAATCAGAAACAGCTGTAACACACTGGGATTCCACATGAGGTTAACGAGGGGGCGTGGCACATGAGAGGAGCGGACGATCGGGGCATGACACACAGTTTGTGCACAAAACTTTAGTTTTGTACGCAAATGACACATAACTCTATAGGCTAATATTATTATCCATTTTTCAAGTCTGACTGAAATAAATAAGTCTTGTAATAGTTTCCTATGTTGAGCATTTGCACACTTTTGGCCCAGATACTATTTAGTAAAGATGTGTCTCCAATCATTTATCATTTTAAAATTGTATTGTAGCACCAGCGGGGCGCATGTCCCAGCATGCCCCGCCTGCATGTTGTAAATAGCCCTTGTATTGTTGTTATTGTTAATGGTTATATTCCTTATTGTCACGCGTGTGTTTGCCCATGTGTTGCGTGTACCCTGTCCGATGCTCGTGTGTAATTAGCTTCTGTAATTATCTCCCACCATGTGTGTATCTTAGAGTTCAGCGTCTGACAACCCGGTGTTTCTCATGCGTAATTGTTTTGGTGCTCTGTGGGTGCCTGAAGTAGTCTTTCTTCAAGACTAGCAATAAAGCGCGTGTTCGTCTGTCTCTGCTCCCGTGGTTCCTTGGTCCACCCATCGTCACAGTATTAATTCTAACACTTGTAACATTTTTCTTCTTTTACGTTTTCTGTTTCAATCCATTATTATTACACACATCCCAAAACATTGTCATTGTTAACTTTGTGTGCAAGCTTACGTGTAGGCAACCCCCCCTCACTTGCTCTCTCTCTCTCTCACACACTCACACTCACTCACGCACACACACACACACACACCAGCCCTTTGCTCTCCCTACATGAAACGTCCCTCTTCTTTAACATTTCGGCTACTTTTTACCGGGCTGGACAGAAGCTAATCGAATCTCTTCCTCAATCTTTCCCTGGGCCACGTCTCTCTCTTCATCCTCCTCCTCCACCGTATCTCCCTGAATCGCTAATTCTGCCTCCTCCTCCGGCCCTGCACCAGCTGCTGCAGCAGTAAAACTTGTGGTGGCAAACATATCGGTAAGTTTTGTGCATTTTGCTGCATCCACTTGAAGACTTTTTTGCTCTTTTCTCTGAGCTTTTGTGCGCCGCCCTTGCGCTTTTTTGATTTCTCGATAGCCACTCCTCTCCAGCTCTGGTCAGCTCAAATGGCAAAATTTGATAACCTTGGTTAAAAAGGGGACGGAGGGGCGGGTCAAGGAGGGCTGAGAGATTTCACTGGATTAGCCCAATGTCCTTCAAGAAAATCAACCAATGGGATGTCGCGGTCGATAAAAAATATTAATAATATACTTTTTTGGGAAAATTGGGTAAAACAGCCCCAGGCCGGCCCAAAAATGTGCGTCGGCCCACCGGGCATTGCCCGGTATGCCAGATGGCCAGTCCAGCCCTGGTTCACGGTTTGACTTCTGAGATTCAGATCGAGCTCTAGGTAATTTTTTTTCGAACTGGTTGGTTCCAGAACTGAGGTACCACTGTATATGAACCATGTATACCAACTCTCATGCTTTTTAAATTTTTTTGAAGTTACTATGCAAGCCAGAAGAAAACTATAGAAATCAACCCCAGGCATCCTCTCATCAAGGAGATGCTGAAACGAGTTTCAGTAAGTTGTCATTTCTAGATAAAATTTCTCCTGTGTGCACCGTGTGTGTGTGTGTGTTGACTGTTCCCTCTTAAACAGCCCATGATTAAGCCATGATGAAAGAGAGCTACATTAAATACTGATTCATGCTAAAGTAAATGGAACATAAGGACTTAAGTTTTTGTTCCTTTATTTAATACTGAAGGCTGCTTTGATTTAACTGACATACATATGCTTCTGTAGACAAAAGTATATTGGCAATAACATAACGCTGTTGCTGTTCTTAAATTCTTTGCTCCGTATTAAATGGAAATTGTTAATATGCATTAGTCCTGCATATTTATTTTCTATTTTCCTTGGATATACTACCTTGGCCTTCTATAAGCACATAAGTGACACAATGCAAATGCGCCTCTCATGCAGGCTGACCCAGAGGACCAGACTGCTGCAGACCTTGCAGTAGTGCTGCTTGAAACTACCACCCTGCGCTCAGGCTATGAGCTGGCAGACACTAAGGCTTATGGAGAGCGGATAGAGCGGATGCTGCGACTCAGCATGAACGTAGATGTCAACGAGCAGGTTCATATCATAGCCTCCATTAGCTTTAGTCCTGAACTGAAAAGATCAATTCCATCGCTACTAGAGATTCTGCAGTCTTTACGTAGTGGCCTCTAGTTAATGAGAAGCTGTACATTCCCCTGCAGGTGGAGGAGGAGCCAGAGGAGGAAAATGAGGAACCTGTAGAGGATGATGCTGAGGAAGAGGAGTTTAAATCTGAGGAAGAAGTGGTGAGTCTGGCTGGTTTTCACAGGATGTGCTGACTTGAATGTGTAAATTGTAAACGTTTCACTGCAAAGAAGTTCATCTTAAATTGCTTATTAGCATTAAAAAGCATTCGTCTTCTATTAATGCATAAAAATTGCAACTTGGTTCATGACTATGTCCCTTTGTATAATCTTTCGGTGTATTTCGAATGGTACAATTAGGAGAAATGTTTGGATTGGTTGGGGTTGTGCTGCCATCTGACTGTTCTTTGCCCTGGTAGGACACCACAGACAAGGATGAGCTGTAATTCACAGAGCACAAGGCACTGGAGTAGGACTAGGAGGTGTTGGATTGGAATAATCGGAGCCATCTTCAGCCTGGGTGGGGGAAATCGGAGATTAACTAGGACACCTGCGGCTGGGTTTTTTTTTTTTTAAAGCTCTATTTTGTGTAAATTTAATATTTAACAGATGCTTTTATTATACTGTCATGAATTATTAAATGTTCCTTGATGGGTGGCTAATGTGTATGCGGTTTGTTTGGGAGTTATGGAGCCATTATAGTTGAGTTCCCGAAAATGAAGGGTGTTGATTAATCTTCTATAACCAGGCACAGAGTCATAGTGATGATAATAATGACACTTTTGTGGGAAATTCTCTTTTGCCCTCCAGGACATACAGACACATATGTAGATAACCGCAGAGCTTAGCAGCAAAGGGTAGTGCCACCTACAGTGGCACTCATGGAGCTGGGGGTTAAGGGCCTTGTTCAAGGGCCCACGGACATGTGGCTATTCTACTGAGGCCGGGCTTGAACCAGCGACCTTCCCATCACAAGCACAGAGACTTAGCCAATGTGCAATTATAGTCTTAAATTCTAACTAACGTTACTTAATGGAGACTATAAACACAAAAATTGCTACAAATCACTCAGATGACAACAAGAGTTCTTCAGGCTGAGGACCAGGACCTGTAGTCAGCGATTAAATACCTAAATTATTTACTGATGGTTGTCCTGCTTAAACGTGATAGTTAACCCCACGGTAACACCTTTGGGCTTGGTAGGCAATTTGAAAGTAACAACATGGTTATGGTCTTAGCAAAGGACCATTTTCGAATAAAAGACAGTGGCTTGGGTCGTACATAAGCAAAGTGTAGTAGTAGGCTTGGGCGGTATCAACTTTTTCATATCGTTCAAACAATACAATGTGGTATATGGTATTTTTAAAAAGTACCGAAATATGTAGGTATGCTGAGTTATACTGTCACATGAGGAAAAATGTATTAAATACATTTTCAGTTCATAAACAGCAAAATAATGTCTTCAAGTACAAACGTAAGCCAAACGTGTGATAATCATGGTGCAAGTGGATCGATGGACTCCAAGCCATGCTTTGTACATTTTTAAAAATACTTCACAGAGACAACCTGTCCTTAGTCTATGCAGCTATGTGTGTAGAAACAGGTTTTAAGCTCCACCGGGACCTATATCACGAAGTCCAACAAGTTATCTAGCTAACCAACAAAACTCACTTTGCGATAGAGGCCTTAGGTGTTAAACATTCAAAGGTATAAACACGCATTCAAACACTAAACTAGTGTATCCCAATCCGGTCCTCAGGGAGCCACAGGTGGTCCGTGCTTTTGCTCCCTCTCTGCTCCCTGCCAGACAGTTTGCTCAAACGTGTGCAAAACTTTGGATTGTCTGTGGGTCCCTGAGGACTAGATTGGGAACTAAACACTGCACTAAACACTTTAGAGGTGCCACTTCACATGGCTGCATGTGTACCTGGAGGAAACTTACATAGTAAAGAGAGAATACACTCTTCACACCCACATGGTGGGGGTAGAATTTGAACCCCCAACCCTGAATGTTTCAGGCAACAGTGCCATTATGCCATCCCCAGATAGGCCACTTGAATGAAAATACTGCAGCAGACTCTGGACAATAATGCATTTGTTACTTCTCAGTGAACACCATGCTGCGTAAAGTTATGGTGGGGGAGAAAATTGCTGCAGTTCTCACATCTCTGCTGCTTTACCTATTGGAGCCACAATTATGACTAAAAACCTGTCAAGGTATAGGGATTGATGCTATATATAACTACGTGAACCTAACGCATTTAAATTAAATTAAAATGCACACTGGGGATTTGTTTTAACTTTTCAAACTGATTCACTTCTTGGCTTAAATTTGGAGTTTTTAGAAATATGGCTTGGAATCATTAGAAATGTTAATTTGACTGAAACGAGTAGCATAGGCCAATATCTTGACCCTAAGTTTACAATACATATACTTAAATTGCAAATAAAAAAGGCATAAACGTTCAGTTATATCATGACTTCACAGAGAAAGCTATCAGCAGGCAATTTATGCCTGCAAAGTATTAAAATCCACTATAGTGACTTTCAATATCAATCCCCAACGAATTTAAAATACTTCTTTTCCTAGCTAGCTTTGAAAATGAATGATTTAACTAATATAAATAAAAAGTATATAATTCCAGGCGATTCAGCTGTGTCTGACCCCCGCTCGGTAAGCATTACTCTCGGCTCCATTAGATAATCCTGTGGCTAAACCAAACAAAGCCGAGGCCGGATCTGACCGTGGTGGCACCAGTGAGTGGCTGACCCTGCTTTCTCTGTTGTATGTCGCTTTGGATAACAGCGTCTATTAAATGCGTTTTCGTATCAAATTCAATACACTCCTTGACAGTAACCATAATAGTGTCCGAATTTGGAGATCCTAAGATGACCATAACAAGGTGCGCAGTGGGCGCCACGCTGCAGACCCCGCGCTGGATCGCGTTTCAACTAAGCAAGACGGACGCACTGTATTCAAACGTCTAAAGTCTAACATCGAAATGGGGAAAACATCATCAGCAGGAAAATATAACATTTAAGTTGCTAATCTTTCACAGAATCCGCATAAGGTAACATCTTCTTGTTATATTTAAGTATTTAGTACGCTCCTCGATCCTTATAGTCCTCGCTTCTGCCGTAATTGCGGTAGTATCCGTACAGTTAGAAAAGGCAGCCATACTCTTTAAAAAAAAAACAAAAAAAAAAAACATGAACAAAACTACTTCGGGATGGTATTTTAACCGGTGTGTTAGCTATTACTTTGTACATTGCTGCCGTTATGTAAAGATCTTTCATTCGCTATCTTCTCCCAGCCGCCAGGATGACCTGCTAAGCTAGTTAGAGTAATTTCGCGGAAAATCTCGTTTTGTTCTCCATAATAGTGGAGCTTTTCTGTTTCTTCCCCAGAAGCGTACGTGTCTGTTGGGGGTGTTTAAATCGGTTCAGATGATACAGTAGTTACATAGTAACCACTTTCGCATATGGACAATGGTGTTATCTACGAGGTCTTTAAGTATTTAGGTTGCTTAAATGTACGTTCCTTTTATGAACTTCCAGACCAATTTCCGTTGAACTAGTTTTGTCTGCTTGTAGAGACTATTTTACTTTTTACTGAGAAACATTTAGAATAGTTTTTTCCTAAGGTAATTAAACGCTTTTTAATAATCTCCCCGTGTACTTCCAGCAGTCCTAAAGTGAGAAGTGCAGCTGCAGCGACGCGTACCTCAAAATATTCATTTAAAATGGCTGTTGGCTGAGGGAATCCCCAGTATCATAACAACAAAAAAAAAAACGCACTTTCATTTAGATAAACCCGAATATAAAGATGGATGGAAGACAGCAGACCCCGTTTCCAGCGGATTATCTCCAGTACTGGTTAGTTCTCATTGAGTTTGTTAAATGCACATACCTGTTTTAATCTGTATCGCTAATGTATTACAATGTCGGTATAAACTTACTGGAATAATGGCACTTCTGTGCATGGCCACGATGAGGCGTTTTTTTGTTTGTTTTATATCTTTTCCTTTACAACTAGTGTTTTAAACTCCGTTTTCGCTAAGTCATAGAGAAGAGGGTGTAGAAAATGGGTGGATGGATGATTATGCTTCATTTTGGAGAATCAAATATAGAATTTGATGCTTTTGTTCTGTGTAGCTCAGTAGGTTTAGGATCTGTGTCCATATGCAGAAGGTCGTATGCTCATACCGCAGTTGGGACCATGAGCAAAACCCTTATCCCCGGGGACACTGGCTGACCCTGTACTCTGGTCCACACTTATATGATGCTTTAATCAAAGCATATGCTAATTAGATATAAATGTTATGAAATGCATACATCTGAGTTAAACATTACAGATGAAGGTCTTTAATGTACAGGGAGATCTGGGTGAATTGTTTCTGGATATTAGGTGGACCAGTGCCTAGTGTCTAGTATGCCAGGTGGTGTGTACTGAACAAATTTTGTTCTTTAAAGATTTCTGGAAATATCCGCTTGCCTTTAATTCCTCCTCACCTTGGTTTGCATTGTTTTACAGGCTCCATGCCACCCAACAGATCCAGGCACTCCAGGCAGCACAGTTCCAGCAGACGGCCTGGCCTAACCCTCTCTTCCAGCAGTCACATCACATACCCATCTCTCTACATACCACTGCTAGCACTGCCATTCCTGTGCAAGACCACGCTCCACTCACAGCTTCACCAGCCCCAGTTCAAGGTAGCATTATCCTAGTCTTGCTTCAAAGCTGCACTAAATTACAGATCTTTGCACTTGGCCTGCTAAGCCGCGGTATGAGATTTTTTTAAAATCCCCTTTTCTGTCTTTTTTTCTGAAGATATTCATAGGCAGTAGATTTAGAATTGATTTTATTAGGAGAGAAGCTTAATATTCAATTTTTCCTTTCTGAAGCACCAACAAAGGGCAAGAGAGGAAGATCTAAGCAGGAACTCAAAGAGAAAACTGAGGCCAAGAAGGCCAAAGAGAGTGTGGAGGAGACGACATGTGAGGCCTCCAAGGAAGGGGTCCAGGAAAAAACCGACGAGGCCCCCAAGAAACCCAAGAGGAAAGTGGATCGCTTTAATGGAATGACTGAGGCTGAAGTGATGACCAAAACTCTGCCTGACATCCTTGCATACAATCTGGACTTTGTGATAGTAAGCTCATGGTCCATGTATTTGTATATTTGCTTTGCATGGCAAAAACCGGTTTTTAGACATATCTTTGATTAAACGTTTTATGATGTTCCAGATTGGAATCAATCCAGGACTAGTGGCAGCTTACCTTGGGCGGTGGTTTCCTGGTCCTGGGAACCATTTTTGTAAGTTACATATTGTGTATTGATAAATTACATTTATTTATTTAGTTGACACTTTAAAAAAAAATCTGAATCAATGTTCTGCCAGTCCCTCGAGTAATTGGGGTTGAGGGCCTTGTTCAAGGGCCCATCAGTGACATCATTCTGCTGAACATGGGATTTGAACAGGCTACCATCAGTAAACCATCATGATCCACTCAGCCACACATAACTTGCAGACCAAATCACATGAATTGCTATCATATGAAATTGGGAAGAGGAAGTTGGATTAAGGCAGTGATTACACTGTAAAATGACTAGTAGGACATCCACTATTTGTAAGAATCATATTAATCATAAAACAAAATGTTCTCCTGCAGGCTATTCCCTTGTCAGGCCAAATCTCATACCCAACATACCTTCTGTTTTGTTAGATACAATACCAATCAAAGGTCCGGACACACCTGACTTTAATGCAAATGTTTGTTTTAGGTATGTTATGCATGCCTCAAGGCAATGAAGCGATACATTTCAAATATTGCAATGACAGAGAAGTGTACAGCATTTCAAAATTGGCTCAGATTTCAGACTTTTCAAAATAGCCCCCATTTGCTTCAATGACAGTATTGCAGACTCTTGGAATTCTTTCAACCAACTAGAATGCTTCTCCAACAGTGAAAGAATATCCACAAGTGTTGGCTACTTTACTCTTAGATTCAACTCATCCTTAACTAGCTCTTTAGGGTTTAGGTAGGGAAATTTTGGGGACCAGATCATGTCTCACCACCGCTTCTCTTTCCTTGTTCACAAGATAATACTACACACCCTTAAGATGTGCTTAGGGTCATTATCTTGTTGAAAAGCAAATGATTTTCAGTAGGTGTTTCCAGCCTTCTGACCGGAACTGTAGATTAGGTTTGTGAGAAAACTGGTACTTTTCTTCAATGAATGGCCTTCAATGAACCTTTATTCACTGAGGACCACCTGCTTTTTTAAATAAATACAACTAAGATTAAATAGGAATGTTCCTAATCTGTAGGGAAGTGCCTCTTCATGTCTGGAATCAGTAAAGAGCAGCTCAACCACATGCATGATCAGACTCTTCCAGAGAAGTATGGCATTGGCTTCACAAACATGGTGCAGAGGGCCACACCTGGAAGCAAAGACCTCTCCAGGTAAGGAACACAAGTATGTGTGTCTTCTGGGGGGGGGGGGTAACTGGACTGGGACACACTTCTCATTGCCATGTCATGATACTTGGAGAAACTGAGACAGTGTCATCAAGTGTAGTTCAAGATCTTCTAAAGACTGAAAATGCTAAGGATGTACTTAAAAAAACTAACTAGGGCTGTCACTATCAATTATATCAATAATTGAGTAATCTATCGATTAATCAGACGATTACTCAAACCATTTATGATGCATCAAACAATATATAATATACATTGCAATTGGTGCACCCTCAGTCACAGTCAATTTTGGCACACCAGTTCACTTAAGTTGCCTGTTTTTGGACAGTGGAAGGAAACCAGAAGATCCGCTGAAAAGCCACAGACACAAAGCAGCAGTGTCCAGCAACAGTGCTACCCACCATGGCAACCTAGCACGAGGTGCAATGTTAATACAGACATGGCATTTCATACAAGGATCGCAATAGTCTGCTGGGTTCAAACCACCAATAAGTTGCACTAAAACATTTTGACTTAGTCAGAGGAAACCAAATTAGCAAGCTTAGAATTTTAATGATGGTTCTGTTTCAACATTTAGTATACGTTAAAAATAAGTCTAAAGCTTAATGCTCATACTTTTGCATGAGCTCCACATTTGCTCTCCAGGTTGATCATAATCATTCTTGTCCTTGCTATTAGACACACTCATAGATCTTTGGTATGTTTGTGAGAAATTAAACAAAAATGTGTGAAGAGGAGAAAAGCAAACAAGTACTGGTCACAAGAAGACATTCTGTAAGGGGGCAAAACTGAGCGGAAACAAGTGATTTGTCGGCACTGGTTAATGTCTGCTGGCACAACTCAAGGCAGACTCAGCTGGTAGATATGTTAGTGTTCATAGGCTGTACGGTTAATTGTTAACTACTAAATATCACAAAAACTTCAGATACCACAGTGTGAACTTTTTCCAATATCGTTCAGCCCTAACACAATACATTCACAAAAAATATATTAATTGGTTATATGTACTGTATTATATATAATAATGCAGCTAAGCCATGGAGCCAACCTTCGTTTTGGAAGCAATTGTTTTGACATACAGGAATCATGGACTGCTATTTAAGCAAAATTAACTGGTTAGGCTGTTACTTCGAAAGACTAAATTGCCCATACCTATGGCTAACCTTGCATTATTAGATGTCTGTCAAACCTGAATGTCTTCTAAGATTTATTTGCATTGCAGTTGTACTATGGTGATATTTAAGTTCTGCTCTGCAATACTGATAGAACACTGCATTTTCATTCACTTTTAATGTGAAGTGTTTCCACAAAGTGATGCTTTCATTCTGTGCATGAGCAGTCTGTGCGCTCTGCCTGCGCATGAGGTGTTCCTCTAGATACTCTGGATCCTCAGTCTGAAAGTGTCTGAAAGCATGTTCTTAAGCAAACTGGTGTCTTTAAAGTGCACACATTGTGAGTGTGTGTGCATCTCACGCACGGGTTCCCTGCCTTGGCCTGTGCTTCCTGGAATAGGCGCCAGGCTAAAGATTGTGACCCTGCCTTGAGGTCCTCTGAAGTGGATTATAACAATTTTATGGCTGTAATTTTATGTTGGATATTGTAACTTTGTTTTACTCTGAATAGTTTTCATTTTGATTCCTCACAGTAAGGAGTTTCGTGAAGGAGGCAGGATTCTCGTGGAGAAGATGCAGAAATACAAGCCTCTCATAGCGGTCTTCAATGGGAAATGCAAGTATTTAGCTGGACTGGTGGCCTTGTGATCTTCTTGTTTCCTAGCAGCAGAATTAGAAATGTATCATAATCCTTCAAATATCTCTTCCAGGTATTTATGAAATGTTCTGTAGAGAGGTCTTTGGTGCCAAGCCTAAGAATCTTGAATTTGGGTTGCAGCCAACCAAGATCCCAGAAACGGACACGGTGAGACACTTATGCCCCATTGAGCTAAAACTGCCCCCTTATGCAGAGAAAATTGTCATTTTATTTCCCCCGACGTGTGTTGTCATAGCGGCACTTGTGAAAGATCTAATTAAAAGGATCATTCATTTGATTGTCATCTGTTATCTGATTTTTGCCTTGACATGGGTGAGGTAGCAGATTTTGCTAGGGAAGATTCTGTGATGTGCTTATCAGGCCCAAGGGCTCTGAGGAAGTCAGTCATAGTTCAGTGAAGATGGAAAAAGGCCAAATAAGCTGCTATCTGTCCTAAATGCTGTTCCTCAAAACCCTTAGCCTCTTAGTGGCTCAGTAAATCAAGCACTTTTCCATCCTGCAGGTGTGCTACCTCATGCCCTCATCCAGTGCCCGCTGTGCCCAGTTCCCACGTGCTCAAGACAAAGTACATTACTACATCAAACTCAAAGAGCTGCGTGACCAGCTCAGGGGTGTGGTCCACAACCAGGACCTGGAGGAAATTCAGTATACTTTTGACCTTGGCATGGCTAAAGGTAAGGAAAGTGTCAGCCAGCCAGTGTAGTCTTTCAAAAGAAAGAACATTAATTTTAGGCTAATGCCATAGCATGTCACCTTCCTTATACAATATGAGCAGTTTTTGTGTGTTTTGAGCAAGGCGTGTATGCTCGGGATGTCTGCCTTTCAGAGGATGCCAAAAAGACGGCCATCAAGCAAGAGCAGTATGACCCGGGCTACGAGGCAGCTTTTGGTGGGGCGTATGGAGAGATGGAACCTGGAGCTTCACAGAGCACCAGCCAGTGCACCTTTTCCTGTGGAAATCAGCAGGGTGAGAACACAGGCATTACACCAGGTTATATCTCTGTGTAAGATCCAAGGTCATCAGCATGCTGGTGTTCAGCTGAAATCAAGCAGCTTTTGGGTGCTCGAACATCAACTATTGTACATAGCTTAATGGGTTTCACTCTCGCCCGACACCTCCAGGGTCGGGGATTGAATCCTACCTCTACTGTCTCCATGTTTGCTGTCACAGCATCTCTAAATTGCCCTTGTGTGTGGGCACCCTGGTATAGACTGGCACAACATCCAGATTGTCCCCTGTGCTGTGTGGGATGGACTAAAGGTCCCTCTTCAAAGAGTATACTGGATGAGAGGTTGACCATGCTGGATGAAAGTACATTCTGAGTGTGCATCAAATCTTCCTGCTTGTCCTGTGGCCCACTACAGCTGAATGCCTGGAACAGAATCCAGTTGCTACACAAACTCAATGGGTTATGGAGCCTTTCAGCTTTTTTCTATTTTTATTTAAAATTCTTAAAGAATTTTAAATTCTTTACTTGTGTTCCTCTACAGGGTTACCAAGGAGTGACGTGGCTCAGGTGCCGGATGGCCATTGGATGATGGAATCTTTCACGGATCAGATTCCAGATATCAGAGGCAGCTCTGATATTTAGGGAGAGGGGCAGGCTTGTACCAAAGTGCCTCTTACACCCTGCTGAATATACCTCATTTTTGGATGGCTGAGCCAACATAAAATGTTGCACAATGTATGGGTGGAATTTTCACTGTTTACACGATAGAATTTAGGTATCATATGTAATTTTAGTAAATTCTGGTTCAACATAACATGCAGGTTATATTCATGTGAGTTTTATCTCATAGTCCAAAGACCTTTATATTCAGGAAGGTTTGTATCAGCTAATAATGTGACAACTACAGATAATGTAACAGTATGCCAATAACATAATTTCTCCATTCTTAATGTAATGTCAGTAATGTAATGTTTTGCTGTAATGTAAAATTATTACATTATTAGTTCAGCAAATGTATTACATTATTGGCCAGTTATTAAATTGACTTGCATTAAGAAGGGGGAAATTTATTACATTATCACCAGTTATTACTGGCCTCTACCAGGTTACTTGTTTTTTTTAAGTGTTTAATTGCTGCTTATGGTTAAATCAGGGATTTACTGATAGGTTTTTAGCTGAAGAAATTGAAATTAGTAAACTAGGGACTGTGCAGTTTTTTTTTGACTGCTTGTTACTGCATTAACATTCTGAGTGGCTTCATGAAGTGTCTGTGCATGTTGTAGGCAGCCACCTACCCCATCGTGAGTGGGACTTTTCATCCTTACCATTTGACTCCTTCTGAACACTATCCAATCATAATACTCCTTATGGCAGTAGCACAGAATGCAAATGCCTAAAATGTAGTAACCTAATAAATCTTAATGAAGATTTGTACCTGCTATGTGGAGTGGGGACCAGACAGGTGCTGGGTGGGACATACAAGCTTGCCAAGGGGAGCAGGAAGGGTCTACAGGTGTCACGAGATCCTTTGGAGTCAACTGCATTTTAATAAACCCATGTCTGTTGTACAGTTTTGTCTCTTAGTTTGAAGCAAGCTTAGTGTTTAACACATACTAAATTAAGAATAAATTCTGGAAGAACATAAAAAAAATCATCAGGATTCAGATCTATTCCCAGCAGTGTAAAATTAAATAACATTACAATTTATATTACTGTACTTATACAAACCTGCATCTTAAAGGTAACCTTGCGCAAGTATTTTTCCTCAACAAGAAATCAATTAAATTTTATAAAACAATGTATCTTTTAAGCAAAATATGTATTACATATTGAGGACAGTTGTCAGAAGAAAAGCTAGTAAGAAATTAAGTATCTCAGCTGTATACATTATGGAGGTAATATACCACAGAAACATCTCAAGTTGCTGTAAAGGACAGAAAACAGGTGAGGGATGAGTTACCTCTGAACTTCTGAAAATGCAGCTTCTGCGGCTCCACATACATGTGGAAGCCCAGCGTGGGCATGGCAAACAGGATGCCCTCCCCGTTGATGGTCTTCCTCTCCTGGTGGCAGTGCTCGCTGGCCTCTGACGTGATAAAGCTGATGAACTCATTCACACACTCCTCTGCAATTCTTTGGCATCCTTCGCAATATGGAACAAAGTCAATTACACAGAAATATAAAAACAGCAATTAAGACACGACGTGAGACCAATCTTACATAAACTACAGCACCACATTTGGACTAAAGTACCATACAGCCACTTGGGTCATACAACTATAGTTACTACAGTTACATTTCCATCCACATAATGGACCAATAATACAGATCAAAACCTGCCGTTTTACCCCCAAAAAAGACCCAATGAAAAAACTATCTAGTTGCTAAGTTGCTAATCTGTATCCCTTTTTAGTTTATTTCACCTTTTATTATTTTATCTTGTATGAATGTTTTGTCCTTTTTATAGTGTCATTTTACATTACCTTTTTGCAATGTGTGCTACCCATACATAGATCTAATTGCTTATTCTATATGCCTGTTCTTTTTTCCCTTCTTGACTTTTATCTTATATATAAAGCACTTTGAGCTGCATTTAATGTCTGAAATGTACTATATTATATTATTAATAATGAGAAGACAAAAACAAAAGATATGCAAATAAGCATTTGAAGCTGCATGTGTGTATATGTACAAGGTTGCGCCCACCTATCTATATGTCTGTGAGTACAGGGGGGTATTCCATGAAAGTAGCTAAAAAAAGGCAGAAAGATATAATCGTTAAAAAAAGGCAATAATGTGGCCATAAACACAGCCAGGGAGTTGGCTTGGCAATGAATTGCAGACAGACTAAATGCATAAGTTACACAAATGTTACAAGTGCTTAGTACAGTGGCATGGTGGTACAGTGGTTTATGCTGTCGCCTTATAATGTGAAAGTTGCTGGTTTGATCCCCATATAGCCAACAGGGAACCTTCTGGGTTGATTTCACCTGTCATTATTACTGTATAATATCTCCGTAAAATACTTTAAATCACATCCGTGTGAAATGTTCTGCACAAATAACCGTATGTTGTCTTTGCTATTTTAGTAGTAAACTTTCAAAGTAGACAGTGACTAAAAATATAAATATATCTTCCTGTTCATATTATTTTAACGGATTTTTTTTCCAGTTATAGTCATTGCATTTCATGTTTCACCTTTGTAATATGTGCACGCTTTTATTTTACAGTAAAATACCGTTATAACGGACTTCAAGGGCCCTGGCAAAACAGTCCGTTACATCCAGAGTTGCTGTATGCCCAGAACACAACTACAGCTAGGACACCATTTACTCATGCCACACCTCAGCAGACACACTTGTGGTATAGATTATTATATTGTACATGTAGTAATCCAACTTTACCGGACTAGATGCGTGACTAATAATCCCGACTACGTACTTATCTGCGCTGGATATCACCGGTACGCCACACACCTTGTAGGCGGAATTGCCTGTCCGTTATAGCCAAACAGAACTACAACTAAAAGCGGCCCTGGGGACCAAATTGTTTTTCCATTATAAGCGAAATTCCGTTATATGCCATCCATCCATTTACTTCCACTTATCCGAGGTCGGGTCGCGGGGGCAGCAGTCTCAGAAGGGAAACCCAGACTTCCCTCTCTCCGGCCACTTCCTCCTCCTGAATCCGAGGTTCGACTATCCGACGGACCCTCCTCTCCAACATCCCCGAATAGACCTTACCAGGGAGGCTGAGGAGTGTGATCCCCCTATAGTTGGAACACACCCTCCGGTCTCCCCTCTTAAAGATGGGGACCACCACCCCGGTCTGCCAATCCAGAGGCACCGCCCCTGATGTCCACGCAATGCCGCAGATGCGTGTCAACCAAGACAGCCAACCAATTCCGTTATATGCGAGTCCGCTATATCCGATGCTTTGTCTGCATGTTCATAAAGGCCAGGGGTGTATTAAGGTGTACAGAGGCCCCTAGGCTACAGTAGTCTGTGGGCCCCCCAACCCCGCGCCAATGGGGGCCCCCTTGCAGGCTGGCACACGTGGGGCCCCTAGGCTTAAGCCATATCTAGCCTGTGCGTTAATACGCCCCTGGTAAAGGCGCACGGCCGGGACCAGCGGACCTTGTCCGTTGTAGACTAAATTCCGTTATAAGCGAGTCCACTATAACGGGATTTTACTGTAATTATTTTGGAATTAATTGGAATGCTAAGACGTGATTTTATAGGCTTTATTATATTGACTATGTAGCAATCTCAGCTCTGTTCTCCATATTACGGAAGTATCACGCAGAGCTTTACTTCAGAAAACATGGTTTTTATTCTCTGCTTTCTCGTCCTACTTTTACTCACAGCACTGACTACAGGGTTCCATTTTTTATATACGTTTATACAAGACTCATTCTCCTGCTAACTCAAACAAAATCATGTACTTTTGGTACACCTTGCAGATGAACAAAACAATTCAATCAGATAATGTAAAATATAATGTCAGATGAGGACATATAACATGATTACATGACATGAATAGTAAGATCGCGGAATTTCGTCCGACGGAACGATCTTTTGGGAATCTGTTCCCACACGTCGGACGTTCTTTGAGACAACGCTAAACTAAGCGAGACAGTTAGCCTGGTCTGGACCAGGCTTGTTCGCAGGTATAAATTACCGTGGTAATTCAGCGGTGATTCATTTAAGACACGTTGATGGAACGGAACTCTCACTTAAGTAAGACTGACTTGTCGAAATAAGTCAGACTTTCCCTTAATCCTGCTTCATGGAATACCCCCCAGGTGTTAATGTATAGGTCCGCACCTCCTCTCCTGTCTGAGGAATTGCGTTCTTCATAATGCTGCCTACATTGGCAATGGGCAGGTAAATGTCTTGCTCTCTCAAGTTATCTTTGTCACCACTGCCATCCTCATCATTGTTAAGACCTCCTTCACCATCGTCTTAAACATAAAAAGGATAAATGGACAATGAGGTTTTTTTTACATTTTACATTCATACTACATTATGATATAAACATAACATTTCAACGCATCCACCGGCAAAACTTGAGAGGACCTGGCTACATTTACGATTCACTCCTATAAACAAACAGCATGTCTACATTCTTGGATGACCCTGGACGTTGAATCAAACTTAGTAATTCTTATTCATTGTCTTATTTAGCAAAAGTCCCTCACTTTCCCGGGACTGTAATATATAGCTTCCTGCCATATATTCCCCAGTAATGCCTAACGGCGAGGCATAGGCGGTTGAGCCGTCTCCGCCGATCTAAAATAAGTTTTGTGAGTGATTGCTGGGTTTTCTAAAATGTGACTGTCTATGCGAGCCCAGAGTAAACAGCTTCCTATTCTTCAACTAGATATAATAATGGATAATTATGGTGTAATTCATGGAATTGAATCTGTGTAAAATACTGATTAAGGTGTATTTCAATCAAACGATGCATTATGCACACTAGCTCGATAATTTAACATAAAATGTAAAAATAAAAATAATTTAAAAATATAATGTACAGTACTGGACCAAAGTCTTAGGTCTTCAAAGAATGTTTAAAGTTGTATGGGTAAAAGTGTATATTTGCTCAGAAAAACACAATTTAATATTTGAATACATGTAACAACAACACAAAAATAACAAGAATTAATTCTGTTCTCCAAAAAGTTACCAATGTCTTGAGGATTGCTCCTCAGGGGCACCCCAGCAATTCTGTGAATTTGGTCAATTTCACCACCTGCTCATTTCATTCGCACTGTTCCCTCATACCACTGGAACCAGGGTTCAAGTCTCCAAGTCACCGCCCAAGCACTACAACTGTGGAGTTCGCATCTTCTCCATGTGTCGTTGTGGGGTTGCCCCAGGTTCTCTGTCCCGTCAAAATTGCCGGTAGGTGTGTCTGAATGGTGTCTATGCCCTGGAATGGCTTATTCCCTGCCTTGTGCTTGTCTCTGGACCCCCATAACCCTGCAAAGGCCAAATGGGCATAGAGAATGTGTAAATGCGTAAATGTATAGTTAAATTATGATATGTTGAGTCAGCCTTCAAAAATAACAGAAACACCTAACAATTAATTATAAGGACCTAATAATGAGTAGAGCCGCCCTTCACTTTGCATTTATCTTCATTTATCGTAAGATGACACTTATGTAGCTCAAAGACAGTTCTTTATTGTCAACACATCCATGTACAAATACATAATGCATTGAACTACCGTTTCCCTTGGACTCCCTATGGTGGTACACACACACACACACACATACTATATGGACAAAAGTATTGGGACACACCTCTTAACCACTTGAATTCAGGTGTGACCCATTGCCACAGTTGTATACAATCAAGCACCTAGCCATGCAGTAAGATTTACAAACATTTGAAAGAATGGGTTTTCTGAAGAACTCAGTGAATTCAAGCATGGTGCTGTCACAGGATGCCACCTTTGCAGTCAGTTCGTGAAATTTCTTCCCTGCTAGACATTCCATGGTCAACTGTAAGTGTTATTATTCCAAAGCAGAAGTGTTTAGGAACAGAAACTCAGCCACAAAGTGGCATAACCTGTTAAGTAACACAGTAAGGTTGCCATGTGCTGAGGCACATAGTGCATAAAAGTCACCAACACTCTGTTGACTCAATAACCGCCACGTTCCAAAACTTCCTTTGGCATTAACGCCAGCACAAAAATTGTACACCAAGAGCTTCATGGAATGGATTTTCATAGCTAAGCAGCTGCTCAAGCCTCACATCACTAACCTCAATATCAAGTGTCAGATGGAGTGGTGTAAAGCACATTGCCACTGGACTCTGGAGTAGTGGAAATATGTTCGAATCACACTTCTCAGTCTAACAGTCTGATGGAAAAGTCTAAGTTTGGAAGATGCCAGGACAGCATTACCTGCCTGACTGCATTGTGCCAACAATGCTTGGGGGAGGAGGGATAATGGTATGGGGTTGTTTTTAAAGGGTTGGGCTAGGCCCCTTAGTTCCAATGTACGGCACTCTTAATCCCCCAGCATGCCAAGACAATTTGGACAATTCTTCCAAATTTGTGGGATCAGTTCGGGGAAGGCCCTTTTCTGTTCCAGCATGACTGTGCCTTAGTGGACAAAGCAAGGTCCATAAAGACATGGTTGGGTGAGTCTGGTGTGGAAGAATTTGACTGGCCCACACAGAACCCTGACCTCAACCCCATCAAACACCTTTGGGATGAACTAGACGAGCCAGGCCTTCACGTCTAACATCAGTGCCTGACCTCACAAATGTTCTTCTGGGTGAATGGACAAAACGCCTCACAGACGCACTCCGTAAACTTGTGGAAAGCCTTACCAGAAGAGTGGCAGCTGTTATAGCTGCAAAAGGGGGGTTTAACTTGAGGTGAGGTGAGGTATTTAGAGCTCCTGATTGCTTGGGTCAGGTGTTCTGGGAACTGGGATATAGCAAAAATGTGGATCTGTCCAGTGTGTTCCGAGGACTGTTTTGGGAAACACTGATTTAAGGTAAAACAGTAGCAAAACTCGAGAGCTTGCTAATTTGAATGTGAGAACTTGTAAAATTAATATTTGTATTTGTAAGTTGAAATTTATACTCACAGCTCTGATGTGAAAAGCTGCATCTATCGATTTGCACACACAGACAATACTCAGAACACCTGTGTTTTGAATTCGAAGTTGCAGATTAATAGTTACAAATGTGTAAAGTGTCATTCGCATAAACAAAATGACAGGCACAATTGTGTACTACACATTTATCTTTGCGCTTTACTTCAGTTTCGCTGTACAACCACAAGTGGGCACTAATGGGGTTCTTTCCTGCAACTATTGATTACTAGCTTACATCTTTACCACATCACACCAACAGATTGCTTATCAACAGAAATAGGTTGTCAGTGTCGACTTGTGGTTGTAACTAGAGAGGTGCATATCATTTACATTGATACGTATCGCGTACGTTGTACTTTTTTATTAGTTATGAGTTTTTAAACAATTTCCTCTTGAATAATAAAAGTTTTCTGATTCTGAGTATTAGTACGCGGAAACGTGTAATGCCCCCTTATGTGTTTGCGCGTGCGCGTTGGCCCTGCTGACATTGACGTCACTGGCCACGGAGACCGTCAGTATGTGGCACGGAAAGGTGACGATGCCTACACTGTGCTATAGTGGCTAATTATGTTAACTGCAGTACTAAATTGTAATCGTAAAGATATGGCGCATGTTTACTTGTGATACGACGTTCGATTTCCAAGAACCAGGAGTATTTTTTTTCCCTGCGGTGACTTTTTTGACAAGTAAGAAATGCCTGTTTCCTCATACTGTTGCGTAGCTGTAAAAATGGCATCAGATACAGACGGATCTCTACAGATTGCTACTTGGTATTTTCAGACTAACATATTTGATTAATAAGTTGCAAGCTCATGGTCGATATGTAACGCCACGATCTTGGCTTTGAGAATAACACTGATTACAGCGCACCGTCCATCTACACGGGACAGACGTTTCTGTACGCCGGTCTCTGGGTTAAGACTTCTGCGTTTCACATATATCGAAGTAAGTAGCTCACATTAACAGTTAACAAATGTGAAACTGACCCCTGTTAAATAAGTCGTCAGATCGTCATATGCTTTACACCAGGCGTTGAAAACAAAGGAGGCGGTGTGGCTCAGCGAGTTAGGATGCTGTGCCTGTGATCGGTTCTAATCCTAGTGTCAACAGAGACATTTCAGTTTTGGGCTCTTGAGTAAAGTCCTTAACTTAACCCCCAATTTTCTGGGACTGTCTGACTGCTTTCTCAAAAAATGTATGTCGCTTTTTAATCAATTTTACCTATTTGTTTTGATGGTATGAATTGTGCAGCACTTTGGCAAACATGAGAGTATTCTTGAAAAGTGCTTTTATAAATAAAATTTACTTATGTTATTTAAAAGTATCTGCTGAGTATATAACTCACTGTGAGATCTCTAAAATGTATTAAGGTATTTATGTACATATCGTTTACTATGATGATGTTTGTATTGTTGTCTGGGTTGAGCGTTTGGAGTTCTAGTGGATTTTCAAAATTCGTTTTGTGTGTTTTTCTTTCTCTGCAGTCTTCCCTTGTGTGATGTCATAAAAGCAATACTGCCAGCCCCAAACATCCATGCAGGAGTAATCAGAGACGTTCCATGTCCATTCAGCCTGCTGCTGGTTAACCGTTTCAAAGAAGAGGATGAGACTGTCTTCTCACAGTCAGCGGCATGAGCATCCACAGCATAGGGGGCGCTGTCATGAATTCTCTGGGCACTAGTCTGGTGGCTCATATGAGCAGTAAAGTGTTAGGCTGGCGTGGCTTGTCAGTGGAGCCTCTTCAGCCCGGCCGTATCAGCTTCCTGCTGCAGACCATGGTACCGACTGGGTACACCCAGCTGCAGGAGGAGCGGCTAGCATTGAGCGACTTGGGGGGGAAGCAAGATTGCCACCAGAATGGGCTCCGCTCAGACTTGTCCAATCTGGAAGACTGGCGCCACCCAGATAGGGGTTCTTGGGCTTCCAGCAGCCTGTCTGAGCATGGGGATCGCTGTGGCTCGGAGACTGCTCCTATGCTGGGCAACAACCAGCTTTCCGGTGAGGAAGGCAAAGAGGCTGAGCAGGAGGGAGATGGTGAGCAGGGTATGGCCACCAGGAGAATGCCGAAGGAGTCACCACTGGCCATGGCTCTGCAGATCCTCTTGCCTTTTCTTCTGGCTGGGTTTGGCACGGTGTCAGCCGGTATGGTACTGGATGTTGTGCAGGTGAGGGAATTGGGCTAAAACTTGGGATTTACCTGTTGTTTTGCGAGATAAACAATTTTCAGAGTTGTTTTTGTAGTGTAGCTGCTGTGAATGCCGTACCCGCTGAAAGTTTATCTTTCAGTTTTACTGCAGTCTAAACCTTTTCTCATGGGTGTTTTACTCTGGCAGCACTGGGAAGCTTTCCAGAACATCACAGAGATCTTCATTCTAGTACCTGCTCTCCTGGGTCTAAAGGGAAACCTGGAGATGACTTTGGCTTCCAGACTCTCTACAGCAGTAAGAATTAACAGATTTCTTATAAACTTACATATACACACAGTCGCCTTGCATGCTCCCTCCTTCTAGCAATGTTAGTTTCTTTTTTGGGGTGTGTACTTGTACTGAGATAACTGCAAAGCAAGAAGGCAAACATCACCGTAAGCATCATAACCGATCTGGTGACACCACAAGACACAGGTTCTATTTGAGGTACATTGTGTATGGGGGGCAAGAAGCTTTTCTCACAGGAGAAATTCCATCATTTGGTGTTTTGCAGATGCTGGTGAAATATTATGACTGGTGTGTCACTCTAGAAACTTCTATAAGCATTTAGCCTTAAGACATGGTGTCCGGAACAGCCATTATGTTTGTTTCATGCCATCCTCACGTCCATCAAATCATGGCTGGTGAATGGGAGCATTGTCCTGAAGGGTGATGCTGATTACTCACAATGGCTTTATTTGTATTAGCCTTACCCTCGAAAGAGTGCAGTAGATATAAAACCATGTTGGGAAAATGCACCGTACGCTTCTATAGATCTGTGGCTTTCTGTGAGGTCCATGCTAGCCAGGCCATTAGCCAGATAGTAAAATTACAGGTCTTATTTCTGGCTCCAAGCGTAATTCTAGCTAGACTCATCTAGCCAGAACTGGAAATAACTGCTGTCTGTCGCTTTATCGTTTATTATTAAAAGACACTAGATCCTGCTTTATTTTGCTTGTAAGTAATACAACGTGTTATCCCATCTCTTACTGTAATCTATTCTCCCCCTGTGTCATGTAGGCGTGGTAACTTCTTTCTGTGTACTGTGCATTCCCCAGACCCTTGCTGAGTGGTGTTTACACTGGGCATGACAGACTTGCGCTAAATATCAACGAGTGCCAAACTGATACAGGATTTTCCGATACCAATACTGATTTCGATATTTGAGGATTTTAAAATCTGACAATGATATATTAGCAGAAAATTCTTTTTTTTCCAGAAACATATGACATAAATAAAGATTTTCTTTGACATTTGTTATGTGTAGATTTTTAAAAGTCCTTACAAAGATAACATGATATAATGCAGCTTTCATTGTCATAAATAGTACATTGAACAAAATTACAAAAAAATATATAAAAGTTTTGATAAATGAGTCATATGTATAAAAATACAAAAAAGTTTTTAAAATCATGCATTAAAAACTATAGAATGCTACTTGTAATTAACTATAAATAAAAGGAAATAGCATGTGTTATGTTCCAGGCAGTTTTGGTCTGCCCTCTGGTGGACAAACTATGTAACAACAACACTCATAATTGCAGGATTTGTCTTCAGTCTCACCGTTTCTTTTTAATTGTCTTTTGTTTGCCGTTATAAATGTCAATACCAATTTATCTGCCATTAGCTCATATTGGCCGATAATATCTGTGCCAATATTTATTGATCACGCTCTAGTTTCAATGTCATGGGCTTGGCAGTAAGGCAGTAGTCTTATGTTAGTGTATGTGATACTGAGCCATTGTTCTTCCCATTGTTCTTGTGACCGTGTTCCCTGTGCTTCCTTTATACTGGGGCTCTAGCGGCTACATGAGGCCTCCTCTTGAACTCGCACTTTAATGCAATCCTTATTTCATTCTCCACCCAAACCAAACTCAGACATACAGCCAGTCATAATAAACAAGATTCTGATTTTGGAAGTGGCTGTGTTTAAAAAATATGTGTGTGTATGTATGTATATGGGTTCTTTTCAGGACGGGTTTCATGAAAGGGTTCAGAGCGACATACGCAATACAACAGAAGTGTACAGTTTGTTCTGTGCAAGGCTGCAAACAGAATCAGGTGACAGAGACGGGCAGGAGGAATAGGTGCTTTCTTTGGGGACTGAAGAATTGCTAACGGCAACAAAAAGAAAAGGCAGCAATTTCAGCACTCGCAGGAAGGGGATTGTGCACAGAAGAAACACTGGCATGAGGTCCCGAAGAGAACTGCAGCTGTGGTCTTGCATCAGGGACTGGGCGTGTTGTCTGGGGTCCAAAGGAAACCCTGTTGTGTGTAATGGCTGGGAACAAGTACAGAAAAAGCAAATGTGTGTTCTTATTACATCAGCATTTCCCAACCTGGTCCTAGGGGACCCCCAGACAGTGCACATTTTTGCTCCCTCCCAGCTGCCTACTGGGGGGGTGCAAAAACATGGACTATCTGGAGGTACTTGAGGACCAGGTTTGGAAGCACTGTATTACTCGTACATGACTTGGTGCCATCTCAGGGCATTCCAGTCCACATACACAATCATGGTATTTCTTATAAAACCCACATTGTTTTTCTTTGGCTCCAGTTTTTGTTGTAAAACTGATCCCATTTTTTCTGCTGACAGCTGAATGCTAGGATGTAAGTGATAGCCGTATTAGCTCTGTGTACTAATGGTTGCAAGATGCGTCATGCTTCTGTGAAGGGTTAGGCTGTGCTCTCAATTTACCAACTCTGCAGGCCTCTTTTATGCTGTTAATGTGTGTCCATACAGGGGGCGTCTTCCTCTTTGAGGATTACAAAGCATTCTGTACATTCTGGGTCATGCTTCCAACATCACCGTGTTTCAGTCTGTGGCAGGTTCTGGTGAATGCTGACCCGGCGCTGTATTAATGACTGTGAGGTCTCTCTCCCTGCCTCAGGTAAACGTGGGTAAGATGGACTCCCCCATCGAGAAGTGGAACTTGATCATTGGGAACCTCGCACTTAAGCAGGTAATGAACCATTTTGAGCAGGTGTAGTCAGCTGCTGAGTATTATGAACACTGCGCAGTGACTGGGTCTGCTATTGGAGGTGGCTGTGATGTTCTCCCAGCATGCAGCTGTGCTGCCATAGTGTGGCTATAGGCCATGTCACTGTAGGTGGAACTTGCTCTGTGTGATACTGAAGAAGTAATTCTGTGTGGGTCTTCTAGTACGGTCATGTGACTCACTGCTCCCTGCGCCGTCGCTTCTGCACCAGGTTCAGGCCACTGTGGTGGGCTTTTTGGCTGCAGTAGCAGCTGCCATTCTGGGCTGGATCCCTGAAGGAAAGTTCCAGATGAGTCACGTGATGCTGCTGTGTTCCAGCAGTGTGGCTACGGCCTTTATCGCTTCTCTGCTGCAAGGTACTTTCTTGTCTTGACACATGCAATTAGCTCTCCCTCCCTATCTGTGACTCGCTCCACCGGCTAAACGCAGCTGGAAGGCTGAGCTCTTCGCTTCCCTCCCACAGGCATAATCATGGTGGGTGTGATTGTGGGTTCCAAGAAGACGGGCATAAACCCAGACAATGTGGCGACGCCCATCGCTGCCAGTTTCGGGGATCTCATCACCCTTGCCATCCTGGCCTTCATAAGTCAAGGCCTCTACAACTGCTTAGGTGAGAGAGAGGGGGAGGCTGGGGCACTGAGGCAGGTGCTTACACTGTACTTACTAAGAAACTTACTGATTATGGTCAGGAAATATCCCTCAGAGATGATAAACATCACCAAATGGACAAAACATTTACAACACTCGGTGAAATCTGTATGTACTGTATGTGTATTTTGGGTCTGTGCAATATGTGTGATTGTGTGCACTAATTCTATTATTTATTGTATGTGTTACAGTATTTTTTTGGTCTGTTTCTTTTCTATTGCGTTTTTTTTTTACCGGGTGTTGCAACAAGTAAATTTCCCCAGTGTGGGATCAATAAAGTCTTATCTAAAACAGTACATGCATGCACAGCCAGACAGCCTAGTAATACAAGTAAGGAGATAATTATGTAACAGTCAGATTACGATAAAGTGCCTGCAGGTTTAATTTCTGTTTTCATTTGTAATGAGGGCCCCTTTATTAGATTCATTTTGTTAATAGCAGATGACTTAGACTGGTGTGTTATTAAAATAATACTGTCTCCTTCAGTCAAACATCTGATGGAGGAGCAGCTGTCAAAACCAGGCTGGGCTGCATTATAGGTTCAGACAGAAGACTGCTAATAGCTGTAGGGAGGGCAGCCAGCTGAAAGCTTTACTGCACCACACTGGCGCCTGAAGTTTGAATCGGCCGGTGATGTCATAAGTACGGACTGGGGCTCTGTCACGGCCTTTCTTTTATACGAATGCTTAGTGACTGTGACTGTCGGCATCCGCAGAGTCCCATCCCTACGTGGCGGCTGTGGTGTGTGTCTTCTTCCTGCTCCTAACGCCACTGTGGATCGTCATCTCCTCCAAGCACCCGGCCAGCCGCACGCTGCTGTACTCAGGCTGGGAGCCAGTGATCACGGCCATGGTCATCAGCAGGTGGCTGCCTCCCCTTCCTGGTTAACTCTGCGGCTCTGTGTGCTGAGCATGCATGGGAATGGGCCAAGTACTGCGTCCTTCCTGTCTCTCAGCCTCAGATTAGAAGCGTTTTCCCTGTTTACCACACCTTGTAGTTCTGCTGTAGTATCAGCCTCTCTAAGTGCTTTTTCAAACATGACATTTCTTTTGTTTTTTACTCCAAAACCCTGCCTCGGACTCCCATTGTTAAAATCAATATTAAGCAATTCACTGTTTTTACCAAAGCACTCCCTGTGCTTTGTTTTGACATAAAATCAGGCCTGAGCTTCTCTTAAATGTTTTTGCTTTTCTTCTGGAATGGCAGGTATTTGTTTAATAACCACATTTTTAAAAACCGTTACATTGTGTTTTTCTTTTAAGTGACTGAACTGCATACTTCTAGCTGTTTGTTTAGACCCTTAGATTGTTAATCTGCAGTTTGTAGTGGGGCAGTGTGTTGCTCTGTGGACTAAGACCCTGTGATCAGAAGACCATCTGTTCAAGGCTCGGCCTCGGCAGAATAGTCACATGTCTGTGGGTCCACTAGGAAGGCCCTTAACTCCCAGCTACAGGGGTGCTGTAGGGGTCACATTTCTGCTGCTTCTTGTCTTTTCCAGTATTGGGGGGCTTATCCTGGACAAAACGGTGTCCGATCCAAACTTGGCTGGGATTGTTGTCTACACCCCCGTCATTAACGGTAAGTGAAGTAGCAGGGCGTGTGTCATTGGGCTGAGAGGGGCAGCTGGCCAATCCAGACCCGTGGGAATCTCTGGAGTTTATGAAATTGGAGAGAGGCAGCTAGCAGAAATGCAAGTATCGGGTAGCCTGGTCAGCTCTGGCCATCTTTTAAATTTGACTGTTGATTGTCCTGTTTTCTTCTGGTGCTATTGAGATATAGATCAAAATTCAAGATTTGTGAAATGCAGAGTGACAACATGTGGTGAAACGTAATTCTGGCTTGCTCCTAAAACTTTTAAAGTGAATTTCAAGGGAATGTCAATAAATAAATTAAACTAATGCTAAATAAAAGCTGTATAATGCTATTTAAAAAGATCATGCGGCAGACATTATATACAGTGTGCATGGTAGGCAGTTGTTAAGTCATTGGGCATGTCCGTGTTGAGAAGACTGATGGCCTGAGGGCAGAATCTTGAGCCTCTCGGTTTTGCTATCAGACTTATTTATTATGGTCTTTTTTTACATGTCCTTTGCTATAATGATTAATCTTTTTCTCATTGCACGGTTGTTTGTGGTAGTGTGGCAGACCTGTGCCTATGCCTGCACTTTTAGATGATGGGGAAGTCATTGTGACTCTGAAATAAATTACCCTAAAACACCTTCTGTCATAACTAGGGTTGGGTATCGTTTGGGGTTTTTTCGATACCGGTGCCAAATCGATACTTTTTGAACCGATACTTTACAAAAGCCACAAAATGATGGTGGATGACTCAAGAATACATTTTTATTGAACAAAAAATTGAATGCTTAAAATTGAACAATATATTAAAAGTTTAAAGTATATATGAATATATATGTAAATACAAAAAACAACAACAAAACATGCGCCACCTATGTAGTGTTAATTTAACATTACATTAGCCTACTGCTAACCTGCGGAAAGCCTGCTGTCGTCATCATAATCGGTGGACTCCTTTTTGCTACGGTTGGTATGACTGGGGCTGGGGTTATCCACACCGATCGTGCCAGCTGTTGTCCGCAAGCTGTCAAGCACGGTGCATCCCTCTGCTTTTAAGTTTATTCCGTGTACCCTCAAATGTTTCATTAGATTTGACGTGTTTCCCGCTTTACACGCAACTGCTGTAAAACATTTGCTGCACGCCGCGGTGTTGGAATCCTTTCTTGTGAAATATAGCCACACTTTCGACCGTTTAGTTTTAGGCATTTTAACAAAAGTTGTTTAATTTAGCAAGCTAAGATAGCGGTAGACCGCCTGCTGCCGTCAGAGCAAGTGTAACGTTAGTTGCTGCATTCACGCGCATCTCGGATGGTCTCATTTCCTGATGATGTCACGTGTGTGTTGATGAATCTTATGCTTATTACAACTGTGTCATCATAGCCCCAGAGAACAAATATTTCAATCGACAGTTCAGGCATCTAAGTGGCACCGAAATTCGCGTTTTGTTTCGGTCCGGTACATATCGGTTATATAGGTACCGGTGCTGTATTGGCACCGGTTTTCGGTACCCAACCCTAGTCATAACCCATCTTCAGTAATCAGATGATCCCAGTTGATCCTGGCTCTCTTCTAGGTATTGGTGGGAATCTTGTGGCTATCCAGTCCAGTCGAATCTCTACCCACCTGCACTTCCACTGTGCCCCCGGTGAGGTACCAGAGGAGGCGCAGGGCTGTTACTACCCCTGCCGCACCTTTTACGGCTCAGGTAACCACAAAGCCGTCAGCACTGTTAGGGCCTGGTGCTGCTGCTGCACCTCAGGCTTTGATTCAGCGAAGCAGATTTATAAACGCTTATATAAATGGACTCAGTGGGTAGCACTGTTGCCTCAAAGCACCATAGTTGGGGATTTGAATCCAGCCTCTTTTCTATGTGTGGAGGTTGCATGTTCTCCTCTTGATACTCTCGTTTCATCTAACAGGTCTGATTCTGTATTCTGTTTTGTGTATTTCTAAATGTGATGAATGTGAAAATGTCACCAGCCATCAGCACCAGACCCTAGTGACCTACAGAAAATCCTCCCCCTCCCTTCTGTCCCCCAGGTGCCAATCACCGCTCAGCACAGGTGCTGCTGCTGTTGGTTATTCCAGGTCATCTGATCTTTCTCTACACTATTCACCTGATGAAGAGTGGTCACACCACTCTCACACCAATTTTCACAAGTGTATACTTGGCTACTGCACTGTTACAGGTAAGCTCTTAGTTTGCATTCTGTTATGTCTACACATTTAGCATTGTGGCATTATCTGCATTGGTAATGAATGCTGATGTCCTGTAAACCACCAGTGAACTTGGGGGAACTAGAAATGTGCTCCACTCTGGGGTTTACTCAGATGGCGATGGCAGAGGCGCAGTTCTTGGTGTGTGAATCTGACTTTGGTTTGGTTAGTTGGGCTTTTAACCGCATTGCCTCCTCCCAGGTTGTGACCCTGCTGTGCATCGCAGACTGCATGGTGCATTCCATATGGAGTAGCGGCAAGGACCCTGACAGCTTCTCCATACCTTACCTGACAGCCCTAGGAGACCTGCTAGGCACTGCACTCTTGGCACTCAGCTTCCACTTCCTGTGGGTTATTGGGGATCAAGATAGCGACGTTGGGGACTGAGAGTAGGAGCTGTCCCGTTTTGAGGCCCTACCCATTGTACTACGATGCGTACGGGAGTGCAATGTTTTGTTAGCTTGAACATTCCACTGCTCCTCTCATTAGACCTTTCTGGCAGAAAGCATTTTCCATTGTCTCTGCCAAGGAGAAGCTACTTCTGGAAGTCACATGATAATTCAGTTTTGATGGTAGCTGTGAAACTGCAGGACAACTCGATCAAGTCGAGTATCTTGCTTCCAGTGCTAATGGGTAACAGCTAACCATTCAGGATCAGGGTTCCCCTGATTGAATGCATTCTAGCAGGTTCTCCACCTCAGTGTAATCCATGGAGTCAGTGACATATGCTTTGAGATAGCAGCTGAATCTGATAGGTCAGTGCCTGGATTGCCCTTTCAGAACCCCTGTGATAATTCTTTAGGGAGTACGTTTTTGTTTGAGGGAAAATATGTTATGGCTTTCATGGGAACCAGCCGGAAGGTGGATCCCAAAGATTCTGTCTTAAGTTTTCTGTTCTGACATGCAGGCTGCAGCTTCTGTCTTAATGGCTTTTTCATAGCAGCACTTTAAATTAGCAGTGTGAAGCATACTACTCCATTATTCTCATTGCTTCCTCCCTCTGACCAAACTTTCAGGTGGCAGCATTGTCACTGAGTCGTTGCTTATGGTTATATCCTAACTCTCTCTGCATTTTGGGGTGCTAACTCATATTTCAGAGTGTCAAGAACCCTAAGAAAAATCCAAATAGAAGGAGCAGTGATCTCTGCCTGTGCCACATGTTATTGAGATGATAATGAAACGTATGTCTCATGACATTTGTTAGGGAAGGAGATATAATGCCAGTATATTTTATTTTGACTGTTGTCCTTTTCAAAATCCATCAGCGCCTTTAAATATTAAACGTAGATTTTTTTCAGACAATACCAGCAGTTTCATGTGTTTTGTTACTGTTATGTTAAACCCACCTAGTGCCCCTCATGTTAAGCAGATGTGGATAAAAAGCAGTCTGTGTTTCAGCCCAGTGGGCATGTTTTGTTCATACATGGTGTTGTTTAATACTGTCCTCACCACTGCTCTGACCATCCCTGCCACAAAAAAAATCTGTGCTGCTGTTTCCATGTCGGCCTTTTTGAACATCTTTTACTTTCTGTAATGGTGCTGAAATTATTTTTTAAACAAGAAATTTCTACATGATGAAATATTGCCCAGTGTTTTTTTTGTGAATTGTTTTCAGTTTTTTACATTTTATATGCTGTATTTAAGATGTTAAATGTAAAGCAAAATACCTAAAATTGGCAGTTTCATGACCTAGGAGTTCTAGTAGAGTTTTTCATTCCATCCTGTAAAGCCCTGTGTCCAAAGGATCTGTTCAACATCCAAGGGGAGAAGCAAATTCCCCTGAGCTCCTACACACCTGACTTGGTAACTGCAGTCCAAAAGTTAATTTAACGTGCCCTGACTACAGCTTGGTACTGGTGTTTGATCTGGGGTCTCATGCACTCACCTGCAGGAGACAAGTGGTCTCTCCGCTGAAATCTGTCATGCAAGTTCTTGCATTTACGTTGTTCCAGGATTAGTCCCAGATGTGAAAGCTGTGTACATGAGTGACTTTCTTACTTTAACCTTAAAGCACAGTACTGTAAGGAAACTGTGTGGTGCACCATGAATGCAGTGCATTATTCATTCAGATATAGGTTTTAGGGATGTCCTGATCTGATCCATTTAGTATTTATATCCGCCAATTTCGAATACTGGTCTGATCTTTTAATAAATATTTAAATATACATACACATACAGTCAGTGTTGGTCCATTCTTCGTCTGAGTAGGCCTTGCAGTTTTGCTGTTTTCTTCCTTATGATTTTTCAGACAAGTGCCTAATTAGATTTGTTGTAATAAACGATGCTCTGGAATCTCTGCCTTTATGATGTCTTATAGTCCCAGGTCCCAATTTTCAGAAAACTGTTTCAGTGTCTTGGATAGGCTCCAGACCCCCACAGCCCTGAACAGGACAAGCGGTTCAGAGGATGTATGGATGGATGGGTTCAATGTTGAGATTTTGTTATGGCTGGTTACATGGCTTCATCAAACTTGCCTTTTCACATTGGCCCTATGGTTATACTTGTCCAGTTAATGGAGACCACACTTGTTACATTAAAAAGAACAGCTCAAGGTCCTCATCTACTGTCAGGTACATGCAGTGGCGCAGATAGGATTTTTGAATTGGGGGGACCAAGCTTAGCCAGGCAAGCGCCGCTCAATTTCATTCACCTCTAGGAACTGCGTTAGCGAGCCGGGCCAATCAGCAGAGGGAGGGCTGAAAGCAGTAACGCTGAATTCAAACGAAAAGAAAGTCTGTCACCGTGTAGTGAACACATGTCAATTACTAGGGTTCACAAAGTGAAACAATGTGAAAGGGGCTGATGCATCAGGCTAGACCAAGATGTCCGCATTTCAACTGTACCGTAATTAGAACTAGTGCTTACATTTTTTTGTGCAATAAAGGCCTTAACTGGTGCTTAATTAGTCTGTTTGTGTAATTTAGGCCAATGGTTTGCAATAAAAAACAATAAAAATGAGATACTTATTTGAAACCACAGAGCAACAATGAACACCGTCAACAAAGTCCTACTTGATAAATGCTACCCATACAGGATAAACCTTTCATTTGTTACTGTGCCAATCAATCACCAAAGAAAGAAATACTGTTGATGCTGTAAAAGGGCACTGTTATAATAAGATGAAGCCCAATCTAAGATAGGCTATGTGAACGTCCTGTCCGTGTGTGAACGGTAGCCCTGAACAGACATCCCTTTGATCATTTTCCTAACGAAACATTGCTATGCTTGCTCGATTATGCACGGAGAGTCAGATTAATCTGCGTCAAAACTGCCTTAACATATTAACGCTAACAGCACTAATTTTAACATTAGCATAATATCGATACCCTAGAAAGGCATTCATATTTAGCCTGTTGTAAGTTAAACAGGCAACAAGTAAGGGATAGCCTACTTACATCGTTTAGTTTTTGAAAAAATATGCTGTAATTGTTTTTTGCCTTTTCGTTGTGTTTCGTACTTCTATTCAATCCATCAGATGGGCCTAGTGGTCACTATGGTTACCACTACAACTTTTACAGGCACCGATGAGGCAGTTCGTACGATTCAGGACCCCTTAACAATAACAAAAACACAAGAAGTGCTGCTAGGAGCTTGAAGGTAGCCGTAATAAAGCATGTTCAGATTTTCATTGAAGATGTGTGAAATAAAATGTTTCATTCCCTAAAACAGTAGTATGAGTTATAGCCATCCCTCTGTGCTTTAGCCTGTCCCCTCCCTGAATGGTCCATCAGTGTTGCGCACATGTGGATTGATGCTGACGTGACAAGGTATACAGGCTTCTCAGTAAACGCTAATGCAAACTGTCTGTGCTGCAACTCAACAAACGCAGTATTGACGGGATATTTTTTCCTTATGCAAAGGGAAAACGGCAGATGCTGTTTTTTTTGTCCTGTAAGTAGGGGTGACGGATCGAGGTCACTCTGAATCTGACAGGGACCCATCCCATCCGTCCCTGGTGCTAACTGCGCGCCTGGGTACATGTGACCACCTTTGTGGCTGGATGCACAGTTGACTCGACTTGCCTCCAACACGTGGTTTGCATTTGTTGGTGTATGGATGCCATATTGGAATCCTCCCCCAAGAGAGACGAGGAGATTTGATTTTAAGCTCATTATAGATATACACTAGGAGGCGATATTGGCCCTGAAAAACTACCACCACAGTGAATAGCAGCACTAGTCTTTGGTGTCTCAGAGTTCAGCAAGTGATACATTATAATCCTGAGGCACTGGCATTAACCCTTTCAAACAAACAGTAATCTTCTCTCTGTTTTCAGTTTTAAAAAATGTTACAGTTCTCTGCAGTGGTTGCAGTGCCATCTGTTAGTTCCAACTTTTCTTCTTGATTAGCTATTTTCACTGCTCCAAATAGTGGGTTATGTTTGTCTCTCTGAACTATATAAACACATTCCTCCAAAAAGCATTCACTAATTATTAAGAAACTTAATAGACCTCTGAGGGAACCATGTATAGGACAAACGATCGGCTAATGTCCAAGGCAACTCAGTAAAACTGTCTTCAGGCTGCTAAAGTATCTGCTTGCTCATTATGAGAAAGCCTGGAGATGGGCAATCCTGGTTTCAGGTGAGGCACACCTGCAGAAGTTACTGATGATGTATGAAGCTCAAGAAAGACTTTCAAGAATCTGTAAGTGTTGGTCAATCCAATAAAATGTCAAAGACAAAAATGTAAACTAGCTGGGGAAAATAATGTCTCACACTTGGTTTACTACTTGGTTCAATTTTAAAATGAGACATAAACTGTATACTACCTTGGGGTCCATATAGGACAGTAACTGGCCTTTGACTGTGCACTATCCAAGCCTGGAGTGTGGGAAACGTTTCAGTCTCAGCCTCGCATTCGCTGTGATAGCATCGTACATGTTTACATTAGCTGAATACATACACTCACCTAAAGGATTATTAGGAACACCTGTTCAATTTCTCATTAATGCAATTATCTAATC